GGCACGTGGCCGCAGCTCAGGACTGCTGCTCGCTCTCACCCGTGACCCAGTTTGGGCGTCAGAAATATCCAAAGAGGGCTTCCCTGGTGGCTCAGTGGTTAAGAATCCAGCTGCCAACGCAGGAGACATGGGTTCAATCCCTGATCCAGGAAGATCCACATGCCAAGGAGCAGCTGTGCCCATGAGCTGCAGCTACTGAGCCTGTGCTCTAGGGCCCAGGGACCGCAGCTGTTGAGCGCAGGCACCGCGACCGTTGAAGCCCACGGGCCATGAGCATGTGCTCCACAACGAGAGAAGACACGACGACGAGAAATCAGCACTGCAACTAGAGAGCAGCCCCTGCTCGCCACAGCTAGAGAAAAGCCCGAGCAGCAATGAAAATTCGGCACAGCTAAAAAGAAATAATTTTTTAAAAAAAGAAATATTCAGAGAGAAGAGTAGTGAAGTTCTTTTGTTGGTCGTAGAAGAGCTGACTCATTTGAAAAGACCCTGATGCTGGGGGAGATTGAGGGCAGGAGGAGGACAGGACGACAGGATGAGGTGGTTGGATGGCATCACCGACTCAAAGGATGTGGGTTTGGATAAACTCTGGGAGTTGGTGATGGACAGGGAGGCCTGGTGTACTATGGTTCATGGGGTCACAAAGAGTTGGACACGACTGAGGGACTGAACTGAACTGAGCGGAAACATTCTTTTGTTTCAGTAAAGTAGCCTTAACTTTTTTTTCTAAGTTGGTTTTTTTTTTTTTTTTGGCTACAGACCATTTTTAAAGTCTTTATTGACTCTGTTAAAATATTTCTTCTGTTCTGTGTTTTGGTCTCCTGACCGAGAGACATGTGGGATCTTAGTTCCCCAACCAGGGGTCGAACCTGCACCCCCTGCATTGAAGGGGAAGTCTTAACTGCTGGCCCTCCAGGGAAGCCCCAGCCTTAGCTAAGTGCATAGCGTCTTGTACGAGGACCGCTGTAGTGTCGGCATTGGCTACAGCAGCAGCAGCCTCTCCCCATGGGCTCCAGGCCGCAGTCAGGAGCCCGAGCACATGGCGCTGGCTCCCAGGTCCACCCCAGGATCGCCTGCCACGACCATAAGTAAGTTCAGCGCCAGTTCTCCTATCTCATCCGGATTGTGAAGATATCCTCTTGAAGACCAGCCTAAACGTCCTTTGCGACTTCTGCTCAGAGACCAATGGAGCGAGTGTCTTTTTCTCTCTTATACTCCTAGGGGCCTCGGCCACATTTTACTGAGAAGACAGGACCCAGGTTGGCTCCAGAGGTCAAGACAGCAAGCTCCTGGCTCTGACCAGCCTCTCTAGAAGACCCAGGAGGAGGGCACGGAAGGACCAGCGTCAGGAGAAGAAAGGCTAGAAGAAGAGTGAAGCTCAGAACGTGGACGACCAGAACACACGCGACATCCTGAACTTGTGTAAACCTGGAGGCCGCGGCTCTGCCAGGACCTCGAGCCAGCCCTTCCCCAGCTGTTCACCCGATCCCCTGTGAGTCCAGAGTCACCACAGGGGAGCAAACCGTCCCAGCGCCTGCTCACTGGAGAACAAGCCCAGTGCCACCGGGGCGGCCGAAGATGAGGCAGACTTCCTGGAGGAGGTGGCTCTTTCCTCCTAAGCCCAGGGCAAAAGCACAGGTGGGAGCACAGAGGAAAATGAGTGGCTGCCTCGTGGCCTGAAGCAGGGCGGGTCCTGGTACCCACGGGTGAAGAGGAGGCTTGGTGTCTGGAATCAAGAGCAAAATTCGAGGCTCAAAACTGTACTTTTTCTTTAACTCATTCTGGCAGGACCGTGGGAGAAGGCAAAGAAGGCAGGATGCTCAGCAGGGAGAAGCCTGGTGTGTAGAGAAGGGACTTCTGAATGGGGAGTCAGGAAGGAGCCGCCTTGGCCAGCCCAGATTCTAATGACATAAGCCACAAGACCCGAGGAGCTGAGTGTGCATTCACTGAGACAGGAAGGTGTTTCGAGAAGATTCTTTGAATAGAGCACATAGGGTGGATCAGGAAGAAGTCACAGGAGTCGTGGTGGAAACATGCAGTTAACTTACTAGCTTCTACACATCCGCTCTCCCAGCAGAAGCACTGTCAACTGGCTTCGCGTGTGTGAGTGGTGAGCTCAGTCATGTCTGACTCTTTGCACCCCCATGAACTGTAACCTGCCAGGCTCCTCTGTCCATGGCCTCCAGGGGAGTCTTCCCAATCCAGGGATCAAACCCACACCTCCCGCCTTGGCAGGCAGTTTCTTACCACTCCCACCACCTGGGAAAACTGACCCCTGAAAGGCAGCCCCACACTCCAGGTGTGGCCCAGGAACCTGGCTCTCCAGTCACCGTGAAATCCAGAGGCTTGTTTCCAAACACCTCCCGCCCTGCCCCGAAGTGCACAGAAGCTTTGGGCTTAAGCGACATTTCAGATGATGGTTCTCCATCCTGACTGCATGTCAAAATTATCCAGAAATTTATTAAAATTCCAGAACCCAGGGCATATCCTAAACCCATTCCACCAGAGTCTCTGGTCAAGTGTCCAGGCACCAGGGTCTTTAAATCTCCCCGGTTGATTCCATTGAGCGGCCAAGGCAGAGACGGTGTTCTCAGAGGGAGCCTGTCGGTAGGCCGAGACTGTCGGCCTCCCACCCATTGGGATTCAGCCACTTGCAAGAGCCCAGTGGGTCTCATTTGGCAGTTTACGCTTTTTTTCTTTTTTAAAGCAAACCTGCTATGTGCCAGGCATAGTGCTAAGCACTACGTGGGACCGTGTCCATTGTTCCAACAACCTCAAAAGGTGAGGAACAGGGACGGGGAGAGACTGGGAGAGGTTACAGAATGTGCCCAAGGCCATCAGCTGATGAGCATCAAACCCAGGCCCCTCTGATCCACATCCTTGCTCGGTCAGGGCCCCTCGAGCTCCGTCACAGAATATTACAGCTGGAGGACCTTGAGGCCACGTGTGTATCAGAAGCCACTCTGTTGGGCGACGGATGTACCTGTGAAGAGAACTGACTGGGATGGGGGCGGAGCTGGTGACCCTGGAATTTGAACCCCGCCGGCCAGGCAGGTGGGTGCCACAGCCCTGAAGAATCTCTTCTCTGGGAAACCTCTGCCTTGATCTTGAGGTCCTTCAACTGATAGGACGAGGCCAACACACATCACGGGGGATAATCTCCTTAAAGTCAGCTGACTGTGGGTGCTGGACACATGCAAAATGCCTTCACAGCAACACCTCGGTCAGCGCGCGAGTCAGTGGCCAGACACCAGCTGACTGCCACACACGTGTCTGCAGAAACACCCGCAGGCTTCTGGCCAGTTTCTCATCAGCAGCTTGTCCTGACCTCATAGTTGTTGTGAGGCAGGCAATGTGAGCCCAGCCCATCATAACTGGCGGTACCAGCTCAGACTGGACTTGGTCAGTTTATCATGTCCATCCATCCAAAAGCACTCTTCATGCGGAGGTGGGCATCTGGGGGTGCTGGCCCCGAGAGGCCAGGTCAAGTCTCCCCACCCAACTTTACCCAGCGGTGCTCATGCCCGGAAGCGCAGCCAAGAGCCGCTGCCCATGTCAGGCCAGCTCCTCCCAGAGGTCCCCAAGCACCACCTGCCTGGTACTAGCCACAGCAAGAGTCCTGATGTCAGGCTCCCGAGAAAGTCAGATGGCATCTGTCCCCGCCTGTCTGCCAACGCAGGAGCACCCTCCACACATGGAACAGTCCTCAGGACTATCTGGGGTTAGCGTGGCCCCAGCTGGGAGCGCGGCGGATGGCAGAGGCGTCTCCACGGCCCACTCTCCCATCCTTTCCCACGGGGCTGCTCCCCCAGCTCCTGTGGACAGCAGGTCTTGGTGACAGCTCCGTCCCCTCCTCCCCGCACCCTCGGGCCCACAGCATCGCACAGGCTCCTCAAGCTCTGCCTGGCAGGACTGGGGTCACCTTGCTCTGCCACAGGCCTGAGCGCTGGCTGCCCTTCCACCCTCCAAAGGCTCCTCTCTCCACGGCTCATTAGCAAATGACCCACCTTTATTTCAATTTAGTCGCTCTGAATTGTCCGACATGTTCATGTCTGAACAGTTGTGTCTGACTGTTTGCGACCCCGTGGTTTGCATGCCAGGCTTCCCTGTTCAGCACCAACTCCCAGAGTTTATTCAGATGCATGTCCATCGAGTCAGTGATGCCATCCAACCGTCTCATCCTCTGTCATCCCCTTCTCCCACCTGCAATCTTTCCCAGCATCAGGGACTTTTCAAATGAGTCAGTTCTTTGCATCACATGGCCAAAGTATTGGAGTTTCAGCTTCAGCATCAGTCCTTCCAATGAATACCCAGGACTGATTTCCTTTAAGATGGACTGGTTGGATCTCCTTACAGTCCAAGGGACTCTCAAGAGTCTTCTCCAACACCACAGTTGAAAAGCATTAATTCTTCAGCGCTCAGCTTTTTTTATAGTGCAACTCTCACATCCACACATGACTACTAGAAAAACCACAGCTTTGACTAGACGGACCTTTGTTTGGCAAAGGAACGTCTCTGCTGTCTAGGTTGGTCATAGCTTTTCTTCCAAATGAAAAGATGCTTGCTCCTTGGAAGAAAAGCTGTGACCCACCTCAGTCCCTCCCTAAATTTGCCCTCCACCCAATAACCACTGAAAGCATCACTTCATCATCTGCCACCACACATTCCATATCTATCCTCTGTACTCCTCCCCCGACACACCTCCCTACACCCCCCAGCAGGGGCCGGCGGGCAGCCCTGGAAGCTGCAGTGTGTCCCATCCCTGCTACGAGGGGCTGCACCAGCAGAGGGCACCCTGCACCCAGCACTGAAGTCTGTTCCATCCGGAGCCCAGCACTGGGGGACGCCACAGGGCCCGGCCTGGCCAGAAAGACAGCATTGAAGAATCAGAGGGAGAAACTGGAGGCAGCGGAAGGCAGGCTGCAGGCCCCGGGGGCACGGGCATACCTGCGCACGCCTGGACAGGCCTGGGTACAAGCACAGACACCCACGAGACGAGCCCATTTTGCAAAACATGTTTAATCAGAATAAATAAGGGTGCCGGGGAGGGTTCACAGGGGGTGCTCCAGCCTCAGGCGGGCTGCAGAGTCCTGCCCCCTGACCCCCATCCCCAATCGTGTCCCAGCTGGGTCGTTTCCAGGCGGCATCTGCCTGCAGGGCCGCAGGAACCAAACTGCCAGCCCCGCGCTGTCCTACTGGGCATCCCAGTCTGTGAACAGGGCTGGGGGTGTCACGGCCTCCTCGGTTCTACCAGCCCTGCCAGAAAGGGAAGTCAGCGGGGGCCCCTGGCCTTGGGCAATGCGCACCAGTCACCCCCTCCCAGGCCACAGGACACCCAGCAGCTTTCTCGGGAGCTGCTTCCAGACCCCTGGAGAGAAGGGGAAGGAGCGGGACGAGGCCAGGATTCACCACGGATGCCTGGCCGGGGGCACACACACGTGCTCTGTCGCTGACTCTTTGCGACCCCAGGGACTGCAGCCCGCCAGGCTCCTCATGTTCATGGGATTCTCCAGCCAAAGACACTGGAGTGGGCTGCCATGCCCTCCTCCTGGCTGGGGTGTGGGGAGGATGTCTTATTAGATGGCTCATTCTGGGGTGGGGGGGACTCCTGCTGCCCGGGGTGGGGAGGGGGAGCCCCGAGGGCTTCCATCTGCAGACCTCAGCCAGCCCCCCTGAGGAAGGGGGTGTGTGCATCCCCGAGTGTGTCTGTCTGTCCAGGCATCAGGAAGATGTCTGAGTGCGTCTCCCATCCCCGGGCTTAAGCACAGGTAACAAGTGCAGGGTGAGATGTGCAGCCATGGGAGCAGGCTCTGCCCCCCCCGACGCAGCAGCATCTGGGGGGCAGGATGTTCATCCCAAGGGGTGAAAGGGGTGGGGGCCTGAGGAGCTAGACCAACAGCTAGACCAACCCACTGACTCATCAAGACGGGGGACGCAGAGAGGAGGAGGAAAAGGGCATGAGAGACCCCAGCTCAACCCTGCCCCCTGCACACAGCTCACTTCCTCTTTTCCTTTCGCACCAAACTGAAGTTTTCCTCCTGTCCCAAATGCCCCACACATCTGAGGAGAAAAGGTGGGGGAAGGGGGCAGGGGAGTCCCAAGAAGTTAAGGGCCACCCAGGGAGGCCAGCGGCCACTCCCACCCCTGACCCCTGGGGCAAAGGGGGCTCTCTGTCTAGTCTCTGCTCCCCCACCCTGCACACTCCCCTCCCAGGCCCCTCACCTGCTCCTCTCCTTCTTCTCGTAGACACGCTGAAGCTTGTTGATCAAGAAGATCTTGTCCTCCCCCTCCTAGAAATGCCAGAACACAGCAGCTATGCAGTGCATGTCCGACCAGAAGTGGCTGGCTCCAGTTTGCACTCGGGAGGGGCTCTCAAAGATTTGACACCATGAGCACGAAAAGTTTAAAGAAAGGAGACAGAGGTACCAAGCAAGAACGAGGGAAAACCAAGAGCCCTACAGTGGGGACAAATATACACCTAAGCTTCCTAGCAGCCAAGGTGAAAAGGGAAATGTGCTGAGTCACACAGTGAGGGCTGCCAACTCAGCGTGACTCAATGTATAGCGGGTCCTGCTACTCAGTAAGTCTGCCCTGGGGAAATGACCTCCTCTCTGACCTCAGTCACTGTGTGCCTCTGTCATGGGGTTTGTATGGGTTTTCTATCGTTGCCGAATTGGTTACAGAAACTTAGTGGCTTAAAGCAACACAAATTCAACACCTTTCAGTTCTAGAGATCAGAAGTCTACACTAGGGCTTCCTTGGTGGCTCAGTGGTAAAGAATACGCCTGCCAATGCAGGAGACACAAGTTCAATCCCTGGTCAGGGAAGACCTCACATGTCACAGAGCATCTAAGCCTGAGCACCACAACTATCGAGCCTGCACTCCAGAGCCCAAGAACTGCAACTTCTGAATCCATGCGCCACAACTATTGAAGTGCGAGCACCCTAGAGCCCGTGCTCCACAAGAGAAGCCGCCGCGATGAGACGCCCGCGCGCTACAACCAGAGAAAAGCCCAGGCAGCGACGAAGACCCAGCACAGCCAGAAATAAAGAAACAAAATTTTTTTTAAAGTCCACAGTGGTCTCACTGGGCTAAAATCAAGGAGAGAGGAGGGCTGGTTCCTTCTGGAGCCTCCAGGGAGAATCTGTCCTCTCCTTCTTCAGCTTGAGTCTGCCCACATCCCTGGGCTCACAGCCTCCTTCCATGGGCAGAGCCAGCAGCATCCAGTCAAGTCCTCACACCCTCTTCTCTGACACTAACTCTCCCACTGCCTTTTCTAAGGGCTTTATCACGACATCATGCCCACCCAAATGATCCAGGACAACCTTCCCCACCTCCAGATCAGCTGATTAGCAACTGTAATTCCATCTGCAATCCTGATCCCACCCCCAACTCCAATGCCAGGTGATGTGGCTTATTCACAGCTTCTGGGATTACGACAAGGACATCTTTGGGGCATGGATCAGTCAATACTTTGGCCACCTGATGCGAAGAGCCAACTCATTGGAAAAGACCCTGATGATGGGCAAGATTGAGGGCAGGAGGAGAAGGGGGCGACAGAGGATGAGATGGTTGGATGGCATCACTGACTCAACAGACATGAGTTTAAGCAAACTCTGGGAGATGGTGAAGGACAGGAAAGCTTTGCAAGCTGCAGTCCATGGAGTCGCAAAGAGTTGGATGTGACTTAGTGACTGAACAACAACAAATTGACCAACCCAGGGCTCTTTAAACAAATGACTGTGAAAAGTGCATAAAAGTTTAAGTCAAGGACCTGGTTAAACACCCGGCAGACTTCATGGCCCATCAAACTTCAGGGTCAGACTGGGTTTCTTATAGGGAGCTTTCACAAAGAGAAAACAGCAATTGTGTTCGAATGTGTCCTGGGTGCCAGGGACCCTGGCTCACCCAGGAAGACACTGAGACAGACACACCTCCAAGGTGGGCCCTCCCCGTTTTCTCTCCATTGAGTTGGTGGGAACAGAGGGCTGTGAGCCTGAGTAAGCCACCCTGCTCAGGCCAGGATAAGATGCTCGAGTGCTGGCGGAGCTCAGACCAGCAGCCCCAGACTCAGAACCGGGCCCGGGCTCGGCCTTGGCAGGAGATGCTGCCAACCACGAGGGCCGCCTGGGAAACTGTCCTTCAGCTCTTAGAGGAACAGCAGGCAGAACGAGATGAACCAGGGGTTCCCCTCTCAACGCCCCGGTGCATCAGGCCAGCCCCACCCCCACCCTGGCCCCGTCAGGCACCTCAGGTCCCAAAGATCTACACAGCAGGACACAAGCCAGTTAGGAAAAACCCATTTCCAACAGCTGGGGCCAGGCGACTCCCTCAGCCAAAATGCCCAGCCTGAGCCCTGCCTACTGTCTGTGGAAGCATTGCATTACTTACAACCCAGCAGAAGTGGGAGCAGTCCCCAGGGGATCCTCCCACTTGGAAAGACCTGACTCTGAGCCCCTGCGACAACCAGTCAGCAGCAGGGTCACACGAGCGGCAGCCCAGCCCCGTCCTGCCTTGGCGGACCCCCGGCAGCGGACCTTCAGGTCATTTCTAATGCAGGGTGGCGGGGAGCCACCAGCCCTGATGTGACTGCCGGGGGGACAGGCAGCAGCTGGCCCCAAGGTAGGCTCAAGCATTGAGTACACAAGAGAGAAATTGGAAAGGAAAGGGAGGACAGGAAAAAAAAATCGCAGTGGGGAGAGTGATGTCAGGGTCCTGGGGGCAAGCTCGGGGCCCTGGGGACGAGGTCAGAGGCCACTGAGTATTCAGCGAGACCTGCTATCGCTGCCACGTGCTCCTGAGCAGCCAGCCCAGACCTGGGCAGGGTAAGGACCAGGCGAAAGGCCTCTGCTCTCCAGGGAAACGCCAGCCTGAGTGACCCTGAGTGCTGGGACAGTGACTTGCCCCAAAGGTGATGGGAGGTCCAGTAACTGAGCAGAGAGGAGAGAGGGACAGCCCCCGGGCAGGGCTGGGCGACCTCTTGGGGACTGGGGTTGGTGGGGGTCGTCGGAGAAGCACCTCTGGAGCACTCATCCCAGCGGCGTCTTTGCAGATGGGCAGCCTGGCCGCCTCCCGTCTACAACTCTGATGAATACGAACTAATCATCTCAACTGATATAACTCGGTTAGCAAAGAACCCCTTTCCATAGCCCAGATCCGGGGGAGGTGGGAAGCCTGGAAGGGCCCTGGATGGGGGGCTCGGGGGGCACTCACGTTGCTGATTTGCTCCTTGAGGAGGCAGATGACCTTCCGCTGGCCCTTCACCACCTGGATGTTGAGGTAGATCACAGCCCTGCGGGAGACGGGCGGTCAGGCTGGGCCCCTCGCAGGAGCCCGGGGGAGGGAGAAGCCAGGGACCCCGGCCCGGGCAGGTGCCTCACTCACAGCAGCAGGGCCGACACCAGGTAGATGGGGAAGGTGTCTTCCACCAGGTAGCGGTGGACCCAGGGCAGCCAGGAGACGCGGGGGCCCGCCTTCTCCAGGTGGCGCACCCACACCTTCCCCGCCTCATACATGGTGTCCAGGGTCCGGAAGGGGCCGCAGATGCTCGAGGGCTTCACCCTGGGGGCAGAGAGTGGGCGGCGTGACCCCTGAACCCGGGCAAAGGGCCCCTCCGCACCACCCGAATGCAGCCCCACCGGGGGGCCCGCCCCACGCCCCCCACCCCAGAGGCCGGGCGCCCACTCACTGCCAGATGGCGTAGCAGAGGAACACCGCGGCGCCCAGGAAGGAGGGAAAGCAGAGCAGGGAGACGAAGACGGTGCTCATGTGGGACGCCTTCCAGGGCCTGCGGGGCGCCTGGCAGTTGGCCATCAGGCTGGCCTGCGAACAGAGGCTGCGTTTGGCCCCCACCACCCCGCCGGCCACCACCCGCACTCCCAGGCCTGGTGGGGCCTCCCAGAGCGAACAGGGCTGAGGCCGGCCGTGGGCTGAGAGGGTGCTGCGCTTCCAGGGGGCCCTGAGCCAAGGCCTCAGGACAGCCCGACAGAGAGGCAGATGCGTGGAATCTAAGCCCGCAGGCTAGGGAGGGCCAGCGGGGCCACCTCCCCGTCTGCAGAGGGGAGACCAAGGGACATGGAGGGATGCTTGGCCAGCTCACTTGTAAGCAGGAGGGATGATACTAACAGCCACCTCCGTTGACTAGAGGTCTCCCGAGGGCCGGACACCCTGCCCTGTGATTTATAAACATCATCTCCAGCAGTGCCCCTAGGGCACCATCCATGGGGTTTTTCCGTTGTTTTATTGTCTAGTCACTAAAGCATGTCAGACTCTTTGTGACCCCACGGACTGTAGCCTGCCTCTGTCCAGCCTGCCTCTCTCCTCTGTCCATGGGATCTCCCAGGTAAGGATATTGGAGTGTGTTCCCGTTTCCCTCTCCAGGGGATCTTCCCAACCCAGGAATCGAACCCACATCTCCCGCTCAGCAGGTGGATTCTTTACCACTGAGTCACCTGGGAAGCCAGTATCCACTGTGAACAGATGAGGAAACATGGGGAGCAGAGGAAAGGAGGCGCTGGTTCTGAGCGCCTCTGAGACCCCTGGCTCAAAGCCCCGACCTGTACACACGGGCATCTGGCAATGACCACAGACCCTAACGGGATGCTGCCCAGCCTGCCAAAGGCAGAGGTCCAGGGCCGGGAATCAGCTGGGGCCTGTGCGACTGACCCAAGGGTGGCCCTGGGCTGCCAGCTGCCTACCACTCAAGCGGGAGGGCTCTGATGTCCCAGGGCTCCGTGGCTGCCGGCCCAGTGGCCACCCTGGCTGCACATGCTCCCCAGGCCCGCCGCCCCCTGCCCCCGGGGGGCACCTTTACCTTCTTGATGTAGAAAAGGAGCAGCAGTTTGACGATCTGCATGGCGGGCAGGAGCGGGGAGAAGAGGACCCCCAGCCTGGGGAGGGCGTGGAGAGGGGGGCTGCAGTCCAGGGGCTGGGGCCCTGACCCCCAAGCTGTGTCCGAGGCCCAGAGCTACCCCCCCGGGTCTGGCTCGGGGTCAGACCTCAAGGAAAGCCCAGCAAATGGAGCAGAGCCTGGGTTCACTGGGGGCTACGGGGTCAGGTCACTCCAGAATCCCAGGACTGGGCCTCGCCAGGCCCCGAGGGGGAAGGGGTCAGCCTCCCTGGGGGCTGGGCAGTGGGATACAGGAGGGAGATGCTCACCAGGTCAGGGTCTGCCCATAAATCAGCTCCAGAACGTTTCCTGCAATGTCAAACTCAGGCTTCCCCTTCCTCTTAAGCTGCTTCTCGGAGAAAAGCCTGGGGTAGAAGAGCCCCAGGGTCACATAGGAGGACCAATCCCCAAGACCAGCCCAAGGGACCCTGGGACCCACCCAGACCCGCATAGCAAACTGAGCCAGCCCACCCCTCCCAGCCAGCGATGTCAAGGGGAGACGGTGGACTGGGGTCCCACACGGAGGGGTCTGTGCTGCAGCTGACCTAGTCTCTGTCCGTTTTCTAAGCACTGGGTGCGATACACCCCAGTGCAAACATCCACATTGGCATCAAAGGTGTTACTGCTTTTTAAAACTCTTATTCCCTGGTGGCGCAGATGGTAAAGAATTTGCCTGCAATGCAGGAGACCTGGGTTCAATCCCTGGGTCAAGAAGTTCCCCTGGAGAAGGGACTAGCAACCCACTTCAGTATTCTTGCCTGGAAAATTCCATGGACAGAGAAGCCTGGCAGGCTTCAGTCCATGGGGTTGCAAAGAGTCGGACACGACTGAGCAACTTTCACTCCCTCCCTGGTGAAAGTGAAGTGAAAGTCACTCAGTCGTGTCTGACTCTTTGCAACCCCATGGACTATACAGTTCATGGAATTCTCCAGGCCAGAATACTGGAGTGGGTAGCCTTTCCCTTCTCCAGGGGATCTTCCCAACCCAGAGATCAAACCCAGGTCTCCCGCATTGCAGGTAGATTCTTTACCAGCTGAGCCACAAAGGGAAGCACAAGAATACTGGAGTGGGTAGCCTATCCCTTCTCCAGCGGATCTTCCCGACTCAGGACTTAAACTGGCGTCTCCTGAATTGCAGGAGGATTCTTTCCCAGCTGAGTTATCAGAGATGGTATCCCTCTTGGTGGCTCAGTGGTAAAGACTCCGCCTGCCAATGAAGGAGACACGGGTTCGATTCCTGGTCCCGGAAGATCCCACATGCCATGAGGCAACTAAACCTGCAAGCCACAACTACTGAGCCTGTGCCCTAGGGCCCAGGAGCCACGACTACTGAACCCACGTGCCACAATCACTGAAGCCCCACGCCCCAGAGCCCGTGTTCCACAGAAAAAGAAGCCGCCACAGCAAGGAGACTGCACACAGCAACGAAGACCCAGCACGGCCAAGAAAAAAAATTTTCTTTTTTAAAATATTATCATTATTATTATTATTGAGGCCTCCCTGGTGGTCCAGTAGTTAAGACCCCACGCTGCCACTGCAGGGGGCAGGGGTTCAATCCCTGGTCGGGGACGTTGTGCATGCCACGAGGTGCGGCCAAAAATAAAAATACATCTTGCAAAAACTTTAAGTAAAAATCTTACTATTTTTAAATTCCAATGTCCTCAAAGAAAACACAAAAAAGGAGGAAATGACACCTGCCATGCTAGCACCCGCAACCAGGACAGCTGAACACGTTCTTCCACTTTCTGTGCTTCCTCCCGACCCTTTTTTCCCTTGACAGATTAGACCACATGCATCATTTTGAAACCTGTTTTCCTTTCCGATCTAAAAATATGCTACATCCTGTTTACTAAGGGTTTTTCTCAGTTTAACAACATTTTACAGAAGAGCTGTCATGGGTGGAAATGTATGGTCTCAAGCTGGGGACAGGTCCTGATTTTCAGAGGCCTGAGGATTGCCCCGGTGGCCCCCACCTCCACCACACACGCAGTGGAGGACGCTAGGAGCCCTTCTGCAGGGGACACCCAGGTGCGGGGACCCAGCCCACAGGCCTCACCTCCACACCAGCTCCCCTAGAAGTGTGTCCAGCAGCGTGAAGATGAAGTCCATCACCATGAGCCGGTACAACTCCTGGCCCACGAAGTTCTCCCAGCACTGAAACAGAGGCGGCCTCAGCCCCCACCCTCCCCTGCCACCCAGGGCCCCCCAGGACGCTTGCAGACAGAGCCAGGGAAGGTCAGATGAGGACTGGCTGCTGTGAGGGGCCAGGAGAACCCCAGGCCCCCATCAGCGCCGCCCCGCCCGCCCTCACCTGGTCCTTCAGGGTGCCCACCCTGCGGCCCAGCCAGTGGTAGCAAAGAATCCCCAGGGTGACCATCTTGAGGATGAGGTTCCTGCAGAAAAGGATGGGTGCGCGGGCTGAGGGCGGGGTGTCTGGGAGACAGGGGAGACCGGGGTCCCACCCCAGAAAGCCCGCACCTGGCCCGCCTGGCCGCGCACCTGCAGATGGCCACGTACACCTCCAGCACCGGGGAGTCGTGCCGCTCCAGGGTGGCCAGGATACGGAACAGGTACGGGGCCCCCAGGTTGAGGAGGCAAACCACCAGAGGCAGCAGCAGCAGGACCGCCTCCCGCTCAGCGGACACTGGGCTCTGCTGGAACAGGCGGAGGGGCCCCAAGGACAGGGTCAGGTCCACTGCCGGGCCTGAGGCTTGGGGGGGAAGGGGCCGCAGGAAGGGGCCCCAGGGGGTCGAAGCAGGTGGAGCGGGCAGGCACACCTCCCCCACCCAGCCCCGTGTTCAAACCGCACAGGAAGGGGGGCGGGAGGCAGAGAAGCGAGGATGGAACACAGGTGTCGGAAAAAAAAGTGAAAAGAGAAGCCAGAAGACAAGAAAACAAAGGGACATTATAATAGCGTCAGACAGAACAAGAATGAAAACAAGGCCCAGGAGGAAAGTGGCCTCCCCGGGGCAGAGGGTGTGGGAGGAAAGGGGTCCCGTCTAGTAAAGCGGGAGGCCTGGGCCTCCTCGGGGGGCCGCCCACGGCCTCTCCACACCTCGATCATGCGCTCCGAGAAGGTGTAGACGGCCAGGGTGCAGCCCAGCGTGGTGCCCAGGCAAAGCAGCCACACGATCCCCAGCACAGCCGCCCGCCGCAGCCGCCCGCACGCGCTCTGGGGGCGCTGGCGCAACTGCCCTTCAGCCAGCAGCTCCTGCAGGCGACAGCGAGCCCATCACCCAGGGCGCAGACACGCAGGGGCCCGCAGACGCACGCACCACACCCCAGGGGGGCTCGGAGCGGCGGGGGACAGGGCTCACCTCCTGCCCGCCCCCGGAACCACAGCCTGTGGCTCCCCGTCTGAGGCCCCGTCTCCAGGGACGTGGCCTGCCCTGCACCTGCCTCCTGAGCCGTGCTGCCTGCAGCTGTTCCCTCGCCGACTAGGAGCCACGGGACGCTCCCCGAGGGCCCAACAGCTGGGTCAAAACTGTGAGCGCCCCTGATTCGGATCCCGCAGCAGGGAACCCCTGACAGGCAGAGAGCCTTCCAGGAGGCCCAGCTCAGCCACCTTCTGGCCGGAGGACCATGGGCAAGGGACTGAGACCTCACTGTTCTCACTGATACCCCAGGGCGACCGTGGGGGCTGGGAGTGCAGCTGGCACCGTGGAGGCCTCTTCCTGCCAGGGCCGGAGGACACGGGGCCTTCGAGAAGAGGAAGTCCTTCTCGAAGACCCACTTCAGGGCCCCCACTGGTATTCCCCTGGACACGGGGGTGGCAGACCGCGGCGAGCCCCAGCTCACCTTCAACTGGGTTCGGATGTTGTCGTGCTGGAGGCGGGTGGCCCATCTCTGGGTCACTTTGTAGTCCCAGGAACAGAAAACGGTGATGGCGTGGACCCCCGAGGCGCTGCCCACCCGGTAGCTCTCCCCGAAAGAGCGGGACATGCTGGGAGAAGCAGAGCCAGGCAGGGGGTGAGATGGGGCAGAAGGCGAAGAGACCGGGGAGAAACAGATCTGACAAAGTGCACCGGCCTCTCAGAGGGGGCCCCCCACCCCCTGCCCAGCACTGATGGGCCTCCGGCCACTCTCCCTGCCCCACCTCTAGCCCGGAGCTCTCAGCCTCCTGGGGTGGACCACTGGCCACCATAGGTCAGCCCTGTCCAGCAGGATGCCCCGCAGCCACAAAGGGCTAGAAATGGGGTCAGCTCCACTCCCCACCACCATGGCCGGGTGCCTCCCACCCGGACGTGGCTATAAAGGCTATAGGACCTTTGCGCTGCCTCTCCCGATAACCAGAACACCTTCCCCTGCCTTTCTCTAGCCACCCTTATTTAACCTCCCTCTGTGGCACAAGGGCCCCCCGGGGAAGCCGGTCTGACTCCCTCTCCCATGCTCCATAACAGCTGAGCAACGTAACAGGTTCCAGCCTCTTCACTGGCCTGTCTTAAGGAAGCGTCTCAAGGAAATGCACCAAGCTCATTTATCTTCCTGCCCTGAGCAGAGTGCAGCATGTGTGTGTGGAGTGGATGGGTGTGTGGATGAGAGTGTGGACGGAAGAAAGGATCTATGGAGGCATAGTTGATAGATAGATGGATGGATAGAGTGATGACGGATGGATTGTTCAGTCACTCAGCTGTGTCCGATTTTGTGATCCCATGGTGGACTGCAACAAGCCAGGCTTCCCAGTCCTTCACTACCTCCTGAAGCTTGCTCAAACTCATGTCCCTTGAGTCGATGATACCATCCAACCATCTCATCCTCTGTCGCCCCCTTCTCCTTTTGCCTTCAATCTTTGGATGGATGGGTGGATGGGAAAATGGATGGGTGGGTAACTAGATGGATGACTGTATGGGTAGCTAGATGGATGAAGAGATGATGAATGGATGGGTAGCCAGATGGATTAATGGATGGACAGATTAATGGATGAATGAATGGATGGGGTGATGCTGGTAGACAGATGGATGAATGGATGGACAGACGGATGCATGGGTGGGTCAATGATGCTCAGAGCCAGGGTCACACAGCAGAGAGCTATTACCTGTACACCAGAGTGATGCAGGTGATAAATAAAGCTGCCCCCAGGGTGAAGAGGTAGGCCAGGGGCATGTTGTAGGGCAGGCTGCCCGCCTCGGGAGGGCACTGGCTGCCATTCGGTGGGGAGGCACACGGCTGGTTCAACGTGGCGTTACTGTAGTAGCCATAGTACATAACGCTGTGGGTGAAGTGGCCCTGTAGAGAGAGCCCCCGGCAGGGTCAGGGGCTGTCCCCTCCTGGCAGCTGACCCACCCTCAGGCTTGCAGGGCACCCAGGGGGCAGGGCGAGGAGAAAGGCAGAAGGGGGAGGGCCAGAGAGCAGGGCGGTGAGGGGAAGACGGAGGTGAGCGGAGGACTGCAGCCACCCTGGGGCTTCCAGGGCCCCAAGGAAGGCGAGGGGGGCCAGAGTCACAGCAGGGGATGGGGTGGGGGGCAACGAGAGGGTGTCCCTGCTCGCTGCCCCCTGCCGCCAAGCCTCACCCCACCGGTGAGGAGCTCCAGGCCCGTGAAGGCGGGCACAGGGCCCCCGGGCGCGGGCGGGAAGGCGGCCTGCACGCCCACAATGAAGGCCAGCAGCGGCAGCAGCAGAAGGGCATTGAAGGCCAGCAGAGTCTTGAGGAAGAGGAAGTAGGAGAGGACGCTGGAGCCGAACCGGCCCCCGATCCGCTTCAGGGCGTAGCGCCAGGGCATCAGGGCCTGCAGTCCTGAGAGCAGCGCCAGCCCCAGGTTGTGCGAGGCCTGTGGGGACAGCAACAGGACGGCTCTCAGGAGGGGCCGGGACGGGGAGCCAGCCCCTAGCAAGACCCCAGTCCAGGGCCTGGAGCGCAGGGGTGCTGTGAGGGGAGGAGGGGGGTCAATCCACAGCAGGAGAGGAGTCCATGGCGCCGCTGGGCCCTCTGCTTGCCCCTCAGGGGCCGGCTCTCCTCCCTGGGGGCAGAGGCAGCATCCGGGGTCAGTCCAGTTCCTCCCCACCGGGGACCGCCGTCCACTGCAGGCCCAGGAGCCGACTCACCTCCCAACCCGCCCAGCCAAGGAGGGGCGTCTGGGGGCCGCCCGAGGCAGAGGGGCACTGACCGCAGGCAGCGTTTCTCGGCCAGGCTCAGGGGCATCCCCCGGAGCATGTGGTCCCGCTGGGCCGCCGTCAGGCCCTGAAGCTCCTTCACCAGGAGGCCCCGCTTCTCTGCAGGGGGAAGGGGGCAAGCTGAGGTTCCCGCGGCACCCTGCCCTCCCTCCCGCTGTGAGGCCGCCCCCTGACACCCAGGCCTCTGCCACCTGGCCAGGCCCAGATGCTCCCTCGCTGCCTGCCTGGCCCACATGCCCACTGGCCGTGACCCTCTCTCACCTCCACCCCCGGGAGCCCAGGACACAAGTTCACAGCATCTTCCTAGGCCCAGCCCAGTGCCCCGTCCTCCTTGACCCAAACTCCCCTCCTGGGGCCCCTCAAGCATCTTGCTCTGATCCCCCCACGCACCGGAGCCCCGTATGCTCCCCCAACTCAGCAGCAATGGGGTCCCAGCACCCCCATCCCCCCACCACTCCCCACTGTGCTAAGCCCCACTGGGGTCAGTAGGGGAAGGCGGGGTCTGGAGATCTGCCCACCGCTGGTCCTCTCTCCTTTCATCCTCACACTCACCCTGAAAAAGGGGTACTATTTTAACTTCTCTTTCCAGATAAGAAATGACCAGAAAGCAGACACCTGGCCTGGTTTGCACAATAAAACTGGAATGTTCACCCTGACCCCAGAGCTCACATCACCCTGCACTGCTCCGTCACCCACCAGCTGGGGACCTTGGGTAAACAGGGAGGGGAAACACAGGAGGGCCCCAGGAAGTGCCCAAGGCCCTGGGCGCTGCTGCTAGAGATCACTTGGTTGAAGACTGACCTGTGCACTGGGCCCTGCTCCTTCCTACAGCTATTCTCTCTTGTTCCCCAACTCCTCCACACCAGCCTCCTAGATGCTCAGGGAAGCCAGGAGGCTCCCACCCCAGGGCCTTTGCACATGCCCCCATCAGTTTAGTGTCACTTCCTCCAGGAAGCCTCCCTGGATTCCTCTAGGCTAGATGGGTTCTGCAACGCTCTCCTGCCGTGCACCTTTCCTCAGCTGCCCTTATCTGAGCTTTGTTGTTGTTCAGTCACCGGGTTGCGTCCAACTTTTTGTGACCCCGTGGACTGCAGCACACCAGGCCTCCCTGTCCCTCACCATCTCCCAAAGTGTGCCCATGTTCATGTCCATCGCATCAGCTACACCACCCAGCCATCTCATCTCATCTTAATCTGAGCTTTAACCATCGCTAATCCGTTTATTTGGTGCCTGTTTCACCAGACGTTAAACTGCACGAGAACTGAATGGGTGTGCTCACCACCATTACATCCCAAAGCCAATACCAGCGTCTGTGACACTACAAATGCTCGACAGACATTGGAGAGCACCTGGCTGCAGTCAAACACTGTGCAGCCGGACAGGCCCACGGGTCTCTGTCCCAGCGGCTGGGACACCAAGACCCTCCTGCCCTCCTGCCAAGGGACCTCACTCCAGGGGACCCTCAGACAGCTCGCTGCACCCCAGACCCCCAACCCGCCAGCAGATGTCCTCCTCAGTGAGGCCCCGCCCCCCCCACTCACCCTCCTCCTCCAGGACCGCAGAGTCCAGCTCCAGGTCGTACAGGCGGAGGCTGGGCCGGGCTGATCGGCCCATGTCCCTGAGCTGTGGCCGGCCGGCCCTGCGACGCAGCTTCATCGTGCGGCTGTAGTACTGGGAGATGATGGCGCCACGGCTCCGGCCTGCGGAGGCCACAGGTCAGCGGAGGGATGCGCTCCCCTCACGAGGAGGCAGGGACCACCCCCCGCACACACACTGCTTCCCAGGACCCAGGAAAGTCCCTTCATAAGAGACCTCAAGCTCCACCAGTTCCCAAGAGCCTATTTTTATCCCCATGATGACTCTGGAGTCATTTTTTTAGAACCCGGCGAGGCTGCCTGGGGCTGGACTGGGCCTCCAGGCAGCAGACAGGGTGGAGTGGGAGCCGAAGCAGCCCAGCTCTGGGATCTGTAGATCTTTAGCCGGAAACCCCAGCCCAGCCCAGGGTCCAAAGGGAGAGGGTCTAGCTCACCGATGGTGCGACTGGGCATGCTGGCCAAGATGCGGAGCGTGGCCATGCTGTAGACAGGGGCACCCTCAGGCCCTGGCAGGTTCTCGTGGTCGCTGCCTGCCCAGCAAAGTTAAGACTTGTCCAGAGGTTCTACAGATCCTGCTGGCTGGAGATCTCCCCCGCCCAGACCCCTCCCCAGGCTACTAGGAGGGACTTCCTGACAGGGTGAGAGGCTCAGTGCCCTGGCCAGGTGGGCTCACCTGAGGCCCCCAGGGCGCCAGTCTCCGGCTGTCTCTGCTGCAGCTCCAGCCCCTCCTGGGCCACCCAGCGGCTCTGCTCCTGGATGAGCTGGTGGAAGGAGTCATGCACTTCGCTCTCATCATAGGGGCTGGGCTCTTGGCTGCTGGGTCCAGAACAGGGGATGTGGCGGGGAGGTCAGGCCGCTGCTGACCCAGTCCTCGCCCCTTCCAAAGGGCTGAGGTCCAGCCCATCTCTCCCTGGGGGTGACACATCCCGGCCCCCAGCCCCATCCCAGAGCACTTACCCCTCTGGGTCCTCTGGGGTCTCGAGGACATTGAGGACAAAGGCCGGCGACTGGGACATGTCTGCAGCCCACTGCCAGCCAGTCCACAGACCTAACGCAGTTCAGAGCCTGGACACGGCCTCCAGAACCTCCCACTGCCCATCTGATGAGACAGGAAGCATTGCAGCAAAGTGAGCCTGGCACTCAGCCCCTACACCCGCTCCCTGGGGGCCGTGGGAGGGGCCTCTCTCGCCCTGGGCTGCCTGAGCCCCCACCCTGCCCCCATCCACAGACAAACACGAAACACACGGTCCAGTGTTTGTTAGTCATTCAGTCATGTCCCACTCTTTGTGACCCCCGTGGACCGTAGCCCACCAGGCTCCTCTGTCCATGGAATTCTCCAGGCAAGAATACTGGGGTAGGTGGCCATTTCCTTCTCCAGGGGACCTTCCCAACCCAGGGATCAAATCCAGGTCTCCCACACTGCAGACGGATTCTTTGCCATCTGAGCGACCAGACAAGCCCAAAGAATACTGGGGTGGGTTACCATACCCTCCTCCAGAGGATCTTCCCAACCCAGGGAGTGAACCTGCGTCTCTCAGGCCTCCTGCATTGGCAGGCGGGTTCTTTACCACTAGCGCCACCTGAGAAGCACCAGCGAGTGACCCGAGATAAACCGCAGGCCGGAATGGACTGACAGGGAGACCCCTCCACCACCGGAGGGGAGGAGGGAGGTCAGGGAGGAAGGAAAGGAGGGGAGTCTGGGCAGTTCCCCACCGGTTTCCTCCGTGGCGCCATTCCTGCAAGAGGACGGGCGGGCGGGGACCTGTGGATACGGTTCTCCATCCTAAGGCTCTGACCCGGGGAGCCCCCCTCTTGGGAGGGGGGGACCCCTCTTGGGGAGAAAGGTCAGGACAGCTGGAGCCTTTCCTGTGCCCACCTGTGACCCCTCAGCACTTCCTCCCACCGGAAATCTCACAGGAGCCAGCCGCCTGGGCGCGCGGCCCTCACCCCTCACCGGCGCCAGACAGAAGAGCAGACAGCACGGCCTCAGCTGCACCCCACCCTGCGTCCCCCTCCACGGCGGTCACTCGGTGCCAAGCTGGGCCCGTCAAGGTCAACAGCCCTCCTGAGAGTTCCTTACATTCCATCAGCTCGGGGCAGGCCTGGACAGCTGGCTGGGGAGGGGGCTGGGCCTTAAACAGGCAGCCTTTGTCCCGGCTCTGCCGTCACCCAGGACAACAGAACCAGGGTGGCCTTGGCCAGGCTCTCCACCCCGTGGGAGTGGGGCGGAGGGGGCAGGGGGAGCGGGCTCCCAGCCACCAGCTGACGCCTGCAGGACTCTGCCCCAGCAAGGCTGGGCCCAGCCCTGGGTCTGCCCTGTCTCCCCCGACCCAGCACCTCTCCCTACCCTTATCTCCAGGGAACTCAGCACTTAGGAAAGCTGGCTCAGCTCAAGGGGCTTCCTCGGGCGAGGCTGGGATGTCCAGCCCACTAGGGCTGTGCCCAGACAGTGCCCCCGCTTGGGGGTGTCCAGTCTCAGAGCCCAGGCCCCACACAGTCCAAGCCCCCTCCCCTTTCCGCCCACAGGAGCACAGTATGAAGAAACCAACAAGAGGTCGGAGGTGGACTCTTGACTCTGTCTGAAAGGAAAAGTGGCTGGAGCTGGTGCTGAGGGTGTGCCCCCACAGTCTAGAGCGGGAATTCCTTCCAGGAAAGACAGACCTTCCCGTGTTCTGAGCTACAGGCCTCTCCCACACACCCCTTCTCCAGGAGGGAGGAGCAGGGCGGGTGGGTGGTGCTCAGAGGCTGCGTGGGGGCTGGGGGTCACCTGGGCACTGGCATCTGGGCACTGCCTTGGACTGCTGCCTGGCTGGTACCCAGGGCCCTGGGACCCTTGCCCAGCTGGGGACAAGTCGGGCAGGAGTTTCCGGGGCGCACCATTGCTGAGCCCTGAGCTGGGTAGGGAGGTGCAGAGCCGGGCCCAGTTTCCAGAAACTCCACCCCAGCCGGAAGCGAGTCCTCTGGGGGCAGCCACCATCAAGGCAGAGTGGCAGCCACACCTCTGAGCCCAGTGGCGGCAGCAGCTCTGAGAGCCCCAGGACCCCTCATCTGCCAGTCTCCCACCCCCTCACTTCCGACAAGCGGTGACGAGTGGTACCTACTGGAGCCTCTACCCCTTCCCTTCCGGAGAAACAAACACCACCGCCCTCCCCCTGAAGCACCTGCAGGGGTGGAGGGGGAGGGGCGGGGTGCAGTGGGATCAGTCGGTCCCCCAGCGGGACCCTCCGGAGGGTCACACTCAGGGAGATCCAGAAGAACCCCGAGAGGGAACTCAGTGCCCAGTGGTCCCAGAGTCCCAAAGGAACTTGGAGGGGGTGGAGCTGGTGGCCTTAGGGAAACTGGATGGGGCTGGGAGGGGGCGGGACCACCCCCAAGCCCCGGAGCTACAGCCCTGCCCGACCAGGGTACCCCATCCTGGCCACTTACCTGGGAGGTGCTGGAGAGCGGGGGCGGGCGGCCACTCACCTGTCCCCCGCCCCTTCCCAGCAAGGGCCGCCGGGAACTGCGTTCAGACTCCACCAACTGCGGGAGGGACCGAGACGTCAGAGGGAGCGAGTGGACGAGGACATCGGGGCGACCCGAGACCGAGGCAGGCCTGGCGGAGCCAGAGAGAGCTGCGCCGCCCCGCCCGGCCCACGTGGTGACCCGCCTCCGAAAAGTCACGTGACCTGGCGGCGGGGTTGGGGGGGGCGCCCCACTTCTTCTTCTGCCCATCGAGCCCTCCGCGAACTGTGCCCTCTCCCCGCCAGCTTCCGACCCTTATCCTCACCCACCCTGAGGTCTGTGCAGGATGAAGGCGGCCGAGTATCTAGAAGCCTTCTAGTCTCTGGTTGAAGCCAATTTCTGAGGGACTCAGTTTCCCCAAGTTTCAAATGGGGACAGTAATCGCAGACCTGCCCGCTTCTGAGAGCGATGATCAAAATAACACCAGGCAGCAAAACCACAGGAATAGTGGCTGGCCCTGCCACACCAGATTGGGTAACCCCTTCCGGCACAGCCTCCAGCAACTCCCCGCAAACTGTCCGGTGGAACCTGGGGGTTATCACCGCCCCAGTCTGGGCGTGGCTTCTGCTGTTTCTCCCGCCGAGTTCCAGCACACTTCCTGTGTGCTAGGTGGGGACTGTCCCCATTACTGTTTGCTCAGTTATTCCCCCACAAGGCAGGGTGGAGGGCACCGGTGACCCTAGTTCAGAGATGAGTGCTGAGTGCTCAGTCAGCCTCCGGGGGGTCATCCACCACGACCTGAACCTTGTCCACCCAGGAGCTCTCTACCTAGAAATCTGACCTGGAGGGAGTCCGGGAGGGGGGGCCAGTGGAGAGTCCCTTGGGTTTGAGAAAAGAGTGGGCTCTGGACAGTGGTGGGAGCCATTCCTGGCTGGGAGAAGCCTGGGAAGGTGGGCAGTGAAAGCGAGCTGGAAGGCAGAAAGGAAGGAGAAGGCCCTCCTGGAGGGGAGGACAGGTGGGCCAAGCCAGGATGTCCACACAGAGTCATTACCTCAGGCTGGGTCTTGGCACAAGCACCTCAGCATGGAGAATCAGCCCTGCCCAGTCCCTGCCTCTCCCGGCCAACACTACTCCCGCCTCCCCCCACCCCACGCAAGCTCCAGCTTGCTGTATTTGCGTGATCCCAGGCCCAACTTGAAAGTCACCTCCTCCATGGAGCCTTCTAGGATTGAGCCTTGTTGGAGCATGTGGCACTTTCTATTGCCATGTACATTTGCCAGTCCGTCCCCGGCTCTAGGGCCCCTCTCTGTGCTCACTCTGTGCCCAGCACCAGCACGCAGCCTGCGGCATAGAGGAGGGGTCTGGAAAACCAGGAAGGGGACCGGGCAGAGAGGCAGAAAAACCACTGGAGCTCATTAGAGATGACAGGGCCCTGAAGGAGGTGGAGAGGGAGAAAAAGCAAGGGCAGGATCGCGGGGCCTCCCACGGCGTCCCAGCAGACAGAAAGCGGCCAAGAGGGCTCTGAAATAAGTCGCTGGGGCGGGACGTGAGTGGAGCCGGCTCCTGAGCGCTTTCTATAGGCCAGGCGCCGGGCCGACTTGGCTCAAGTGCCAATGACGGGAGGCGGGATGTTGAGAAATACCGCCAGGGCGGGCAGCTTCAAGTGATGGGACCCACCCACCAAGTTTTTGTACTCTCCCGCCTGGCGAGCCCAGCGCAGCCCGCAGGGGCTCCCGGCGGATAAGGGGCGGGGCTCGCAGCCCGCGGCCCGCAGCCCTGCGGGGTCAGACCCTGGACCCAGACGCCGTGTCGCCAGCCCGGGTGCCCGGTGGGGAGGTGCAGGGCCGGACCCCAGAGCAGCGCCCAGCCGCGGCGCCTCTCACCTGCCCTCCCGCGCCCTGCGCCCCCGCAGGAAGGGCGGGCCTCGGTGCAGAGAGGAGAAACTGCCAGAGGTCGGGGAGAAAAGAGTACGGAGGGGAGAGGCGGCGACCAGAGGGTGGGGAGCTACGGTTCCTGTCATGTGACCCCCTCCCCTCGACTCTCTCGCAGCCCTGCCCGGCGTGGCGGGAGCCAGTCGGAGGACGGTCTCCTCCCGGGACTTGGTCTCCGGGCCCCAGGTGAGTGAGTGCAGAGCTGGGGGAGGGGGGTGAGGAGGCGGATCGTCAGAGGAATGGGAGAGAGAATTGAGGCCCAGAAGCTGCTGGTGGTTGGCCGGGGGAGGGGTGAGAACCGCAGCTGAGCGCCAAGGGGCCCCTTCCTTCCTCCTTTTCCCACCGCTGGTGCTGTAGCCACGCCCCCCCATCTGGGTTCCTTGGGGAACCCTGGCGGACCCAGTCCGCGGAGCTGGACCACCAGCTGGACCACCAGGTAGAAGACAGAGGAGGTCCCAGCAGTTCCAGATTCGAGGTGCAGCTGCAAATGCTGAATCCTGGGAACTGTTGGGGTTCGGAGCCGGAACTATTTCGGTCCCAGTGGGAGAATCAGCACGTGGACTTGTCTCTTGCCAAAGGGTGCTGGTGAAGGCCCGTGGCCCCTGGGAGCAGGTTGGAGTAGGGCAGAGCTGGCCTTGTGGCCCCACCGTACTTACCGGTGGCCACATCTGGCCTTGGCTTCCTTTGTGACATCCCATCTTTCCAAGCCCTTTGGACTCATTTCTCCCCATTTGACAGATGGGAACACTGAGGCCATATGTTGCTTTGAGATGTGGCTGGACACTGAGCCAGATCCCCTCCAACAGGATTTCTCTTCATCACTGACCATGCCAGGGCCAAGACTGTGAGGTTCCCTCAACAACAACCCCACATCTCTCCCAGGAAGTGGCGCATTGCTGCCCCAACTTCCACCCCACCGCAGAGATGCAGAGGCAGTGGTCGGTGCAGGCCCCCGGGGAGCCAGAAGCCGAGCCAGGGGGCGAGGAGCTATGGGAGCAGGAGATGGCGCGGCTGTGCCTCTCCCAGCAGCCGGTGCGGGTGCTGCCCTACGCCATGGTGGACAAGCGTTTTATCCGGTGGGTGCCGGCGAACCCTGCGGAACACAGCGGAGGCCGAGCGGTGGGGGTGGGGTGGGGGAATGCACCTGTTGGACGGGGGCGGGATGGAAGCAGCAGCCCTGGAAACCCTTTGGCCCAGGGTGCTGCTCTGCCTGGACAGGTGGGCATGCTGGCTGACTCAGGGCACCCCCCTCCCCATCACCACCCCATCCCAGGCAGCTGCGGGAGCCCGAGGGAGTGAAGACCTCCTGCTGGCAGCAGTGGCGTCGCAGGCGGCAGACTGCGGGCCGGCGACTGGGGGAGGCAGTTCGGCGGCTGACCCGGGGCTGTGGGCTCTGGGAGGGGGCTCTCTACGAGATCGGCGGTATGACCTGAACCCCAATCCCCACCTCCCTCTTCCCTTCTGGAGTCTCAGCGTCTAGTTTAGAAACCAGAAGAGGGCATCACCCCCCCCCCCTTGCCGTTGCACCGTTTCCCCCCACCAGTCACCCCCCAATCACGTGGCTTTGAGGTCACACATCCGCCTCTGCCCCAAGAGCCAGCCCCCCAAAACGTTGATGGACGATGGCGCGCCCTCGTGGCTGTTAGAGGTACTGCTAGGCAAGCCTCCGGAACTGGCCANCCCTCGTGGCTGTTAGAGGTACTGCTAGGCAAGCCTCCGGAACTGGCCATCGAACTGAGATCCTGGGGAGGCTAGTCACCCACACCCCTTCTGGGTTGGTCAGCCCTAACCCCGCAGCCCTAGGATGACCACTCGGGCTCGCGGCTAGGCCCCTCCTGACTCCCCTGCTGTTCCCCGCAGGCCTCTTTGGCACTGGAATCCAGTCCTATTTCACCTTCCTTCGCTTCCTGCTGCTACTTAACCTGCTGACCCTGCTTCTGACCAGCAGCTTCGTCCTGCTGCCCCTGGTCTGGCTCCGGCCCCCTGACCCAGGACCAGCTCTGAACTTCAGTGAGTGCCCGGCCCATGGAGAGAACAGTTCCCCTGAGCCCACCTGAACCCTGGGGGCTGGTCCAGCATTCACGTGCTGGGACAGCCCCAACCCTCTGTGTCCCAGCCCTGGGCATCAACCTGCTTGGGTCCAGCCCTGAGACTCTCCCTGACCTTACCGTTTGCATGACATGCCCTCAGGACCCTGCTCAGGCCTTCTGGGATTGGGGGCTACGGAGTAGGAGGGGCAGAGCCTCCCCTATGCCTTGGGGACCCTCCCCTATGGGACCCTCTCTTCTTGACAGCTCTCCAGTGTCCTGGTAGTGGCCACCTACCCCAGACCGGTGTTTCCAAGTTCAACAATCTACTCTGGAATGTTTTTACCGGCAGGGTGAGTGAGTCTGTCCTGGCCAAGGAGCAGGGAGGCTGGAGGACCTGGGGGTATGGCCTCAGGAGACCCCAGTCTAAGATGACCACCATCCATCCAAGGGCATGCTGGCGTATAGGGGGACAGTCCTTCATAGACAGGCTGTCTGGGTCAGCAGCGGAGTCACGAGAGAGGCTGCGGCCACTGTGCACCGTCCAGGCCCATGCATGTGCCCATAGCCCTCAGAGCCCACGTGGGGTGGGAGTATGAAGGACAAGAAGTGAAAAGTGCCCAGGCTTCTGGGATAGGCACCACCCTACCCTCATCCCTGGAAGCCACTGAGTGGTTCCTGTGTGGACTGCCGTGTTCCAGTTCTGGCTTTTTCTTCCAAGCTGTATGTCCTTGGGCAAGTTGCCTAACCCCTCTGGGCCTCTGTGAAATGAGGATATTCTTATTCTCTACCCGAAGGAGTTATTGTGAGGGTTAATGTGCAAGAAAACAGTCAGCACACAGCCTGGCTCCGTTATCATTGTCTGACACCCGCAGGCCTTCAACAACACCTATCTCTTTTACGGAGCGTACTGGTCGGGGCCCGAGAGCGGCTGGACATACAGCATCCGCCTGGCCTACCTCCTGAGCCCACTGGCCTGCCTGCTCCTCTGCTTCTGCGGGATTCTGCGGCGGTGAGGGCAGAGCCCCTTTTCCAGGGGGTCTCTCCTGATCATTCCTCCTCAGTGCGGTACCCCCAGGCTGGTGGGGAGTCCCCGCAGACAGACTGCAGGCCCAGAACTCTGCATTGCCAGCTGCAGACCTCAGGGGCAGAGCCACCACTCCTCTATCCCCACCCCACTCCCCAGCCAGGCCGAGGTCCGAGCCTGCCCCTGGGGCTGCCCGGGGCTGCCCACCCCAGAGCAGGGCTGAGCCCAGGCTGAGCCCTGCCCGCCACCGCCCCCTCCAGGATGGTGAAGGGGCTGCCACAGAAGATGTTCCTGGGCCAGGACTACCGGTCGCCTCTCAGTGCCAAGGTCTTCTCGTCCTGGGACTTCTGCATCCGGGGGCAGGAGGCCGCCACCATCAAGAGGCATGAGATCAGCAATGAATTCAAGGTGTGCGTGAGGACGTGCATGAATGTGAGATGTGAGTGTAAGTGTGAATGAGTGTGAGAGCACATGGGAATGTGTGTATGAGTGTGTGGCTTGCGTGTGGGAATGTGAGAGTGTGTGCACACAAGATTTTCCAGCTTGGGGGAGGTGGGGTGCTGGGCCATGTTGGGGAGTGAGCACTCACCTGTATGGTGCTAGGGTGGGGGGCTCTGGATGAAACCAGCCTGTCCCCCCGCTCCCCGTCGTCACCCCAACTTTGCCTAGGGCTTGCAGCCTGTCTCCCCACACACACCAACCTGGGGCTGTTTGCTGGCCCTGCCCCCCCATCCACCTGGGCCAGCCCTAACCCGCCCCTGCCCTGCCTCCCGACAGATGGAGCTGGAGGAGGGGCGTCACTTGCTGCTGCTGCAGCAGCAGACCCGAGCTCAGAGGGCCTGCCACCTGCTCACCTACCTGCGGGTCAACGTCCTCATCGGGCTCCTGGTGGTTGGAGCCATCAGCGCCATCTTCTGGGCCACCAAGTACTCGCAGGACAACAAGGAGGTGCATTTATTTCATCCCGGCCAGCTCTGGGGGAGGGGGTGGGACGGTCCCACTTTGCAGAAGGAGAAACTGAGACTCCAAGAGGGTAAAGCCATTTGCCCAAGGTCACGACCGAGTCAGACCGTCTCTGCCCATGGCTGCTCCCCCACCGCCATGCTGTCACTGGGAATAGTCCGGGGGCTCCCGGAGGCCTGCCCTGCCTCAGAGCAACACTTGAAGGGGTCGTAGGGGATGGGCGAGCTGCTGGGGGCCCTTCAGCCCATGGCACCCCCTTACCTGCTTCTCCCCACAGGAGTCCTTGTTTCTGCTGCTCCAGTACCTGCCCCCTGGGGTCATCGCACTGGTCAACTTTCTGGGTCCCCTGCTGTTCGTTTTCCTGGTCCAGCTGGAGAACTATCCTCCCAACACTGAGGTCAACCTCACCCTTATCTGGTGAGTGCCACCTGTCTTGATTATCGCCTGGCACTAGGGGCCCCGAGCAAGGAAGGGCAGGCAGCCGCCCTCACACACAGTCTTGGGGGGCCCCGTCCAAGGTTCTTCAATCCCCACCATCTAAAGCAAGCCAGTGACTGTTTTTTCGGGGACACAGAGTACCACAGTCACCCCCCTAGGGACACAGCTCCCTCCCATGTGCCCTGAGGGTTTATAACCCTCACCTTGATAACCCTCATGTGACCTGTGAAGTTAAGACCATCCTCATCACCATTGGATAGATGAGGAAACTGAGGTTTGAAAGGGTCAAGTGTCTCAGTCAAGGGAATCTCCCCATGCCTGCCGAGTGCAGGTTCACACTCAAGCCCCACTCCACCCCCAGGCTCTGCTCTGTCTCCCCTCTCAGGACTCGGGTCCTGCCTTGGACCCAGCCACAGGCCCCCTAGTCTCCCAACTCCCACTCAGGTTCTCTGCCACCCACCCCTCATCAGCAGGGCCTGCTTTTCCTCAGCCTTCCCTGGCGCGGAAGCTGCCCACAGCCCATTCCGAGTCCCTCCAAGGTAGACTGTGTTTTGTTTGAAACTTTATTATTGGAACAGGTAATAAAACGTACACATAGGTAATCAGTTCAGTTCAGTTCAGTTGCTCAGTCGTGTCCACCTCTTTGCGACCCCATGGACGGCAGCACACCAGGCTTCCCTGTCCATCACCAACTCCCAGAGCTTACTCAAACTCACATCCATCAAGTCGGTGATGCCATCCAACCATCTCATCCTCTGTCATACCCTTCTCCTCCTGCCTTCAATCTTTCCCAGCATCAGGGTCTTTTCAAATGAGTCAGTTCTTCATATCATGTGGCCAAGTATTGGAACTTCAGCATCAGTCCTTCCAATGAATATTCAAGACTGACTTCCTTTAGGATGGACTGGTTGGATCTCCTTGCAGTCCAAGGGACTCTCAAGAGTCTTCTCCAACACCACAGTTCAAAAGCATCAATTCTTTGGTGCTCAGCTTTCTTTATAGTCCAACTCTCACATTCATACATGACTGTGGAAAAAACTACAGCTTTGACTACACATAGCATGTGCAATTCAAAATTCTCAAAGGATCAAAGATAAAAATAAGCCCCTACCCACCCTTGCCTTCCTCAACAGAAAAACCGCTGTTTCCACCAGCCTCTTGCCATGCATCAGCATTCAAAGTCCACACTTTGTGAGACTTCCCGGCGGTCCAGTGGTTAAGACTCCCTGCTTCTAAAGCAGGTTCAGTCACAGAGTGCAGACAAAAAGTAAAAAAAGGAAGCCCACACTTGTATACAACATGCAGTGGTGGTTTGGGGATGGGCCACCCTCCCTGTGTGATCCAGTTATATATGATTCAGGAGTATATGCATGCACGTTTGTGGTATATGGACAGTGTAAGTAGGGTGCTCAGTCGCATCCAACTCTTTGCGACCTCATGGACTATAGCCCGAGAGTCTCCTCTGTCTGTAGGATTCTCCAGGCAAGAATACTGGAGTGGGTTGCCATTTACTTCTCCAGGGTATCTTCCCGACCCAGGGATTGAACCTGTGTCTCCTGCATTGCAGGCAGATTATTTGCCCACTAAGCCACCTGGGAATAGGCCTTAGAAGAATGATCTCACCTGCATTAATGATATAAAGGGCCGTATGTGCCTCCTGTGACTCTCCAAGCTGGGTGTTGTGGGAAGGATGGCTGAGACCATGCACTGTTTCCCATACTGATCTAAACAGAACCATTCTCCTGGGAGTTGTCTTTGGAACACACTTTAGGAAACATTGCCACGAATGGAGCAGGTTGGAAGGAAGCTGGGCCCTGGGTTTAGAGGGGGCTGGTCCCAGGAAAAAACTTCAGGTTGTGCAGATGTCAGCCACACCTGTGTCCTGGGTAGATGTGCCCTGTACCTGGGCTCCTCCCCTGACACAGTCTCCGCCCCCACCCCAACCCCCAGGTGTGTGGTGCTCAAGCTGGCCAGCCTGGGAATATTCTCCTTCTCACTGGGCCAGACTGTGCTGTGCATCGGCAGAAACAAGACCAGCTGTGAGTCCTACGGCTACAACGCCTGTGACTACCAGGTGGCTGGTGGCTCCATCCGGGCCTCTCCCTTTGTCCTCTGCAAAGCCCACCTCTCTGATCTCCTTGCCCCTCTCTGGTCTCACCTTTGTGAGAGGCTGTGGGCAGAGCCAAGCACTCGGGCAGTCACCTCCAGGGAGTGCGATTTGCATCACACTGCCCTGTGCAGAGGAGGCAATTCCGACTGGTTGCTTGTCTTATTCTCCAGGCCTGGATTTTAACTTAGCCAATCATATCAGACTCCAGGCGCAGCTCCTACACTTCGGGGTTCCCCCATCGGGTGGGCGAGGGGTGGTTGGGACCAAGGGTAGTGACGGATGCACCCTCTGACCAGTGCTGGGAGAACTCCGTGGGGGAGGAGCTATACAAACTCAGCATCTTCAACTTTCTTCTCACCGTGGCCTTCGCCTTCCTTGTCAGCCTGCCTAGGAGGTGAGCCACGTGGGGACACCACGGGGGCGGTGTGGGCCTGTCTGGGGGGCTGGCCAGTGGCCACGGCCAAGGCTGTGAGCAGTTCTACACTCGTGTGTCCCGTGTGACTGCGTGCGTGCAACAGTCCAGGGCCCGGACCAGCGAGGTCCACACACTCCTCCCGGGTGGTGGGGACCTGTTCCCTCCCTCCCCCAGGATGTTGGTGGAGCGGTTCTCAGGCCGGTTCTGGGTTTGGCTGGACCGAGAGGAGTTCCTGGTGCCCAAGAACGTGCTGGACATCGTGGAGGGGCAGACGGTCACCTGGATGGGCCTCTTCTACTGCCCCCTGCTGCCCCTGCTCAACAGCGTCTTCATCTTCCTCACCTTCTACATCAAGAAGGTGAGGGCCCGGGGGGCGGGACGGTGCAGGGGTGCACCTGCGTGGGTGCCTTGAGCGCCACCGGCAGGGCAGCCTTCACATCCTGCGGCTACCCGGCCAGTCACTTCCGGTCTGCGGACTACGCTGACCGGTCACTTCCGGTCTGCACACTGCGCTGACGACGCCCCCCTGTGTCCTTGTTCCCCCTCCCCCCAGTACACCCTGCTGAGGAACTCCAGGGCGTCCCCTCGGCGATTCCGCGCCTCCAGCTCCATCTTCTTCTTCCAGCTGGTGCTCCTCCTGGGCCTGCTCCTGGCCGCCGCGCCCCTGGGCTATGTGGTCAGCAGGTGAGCGGAGCAGACGGCCCGAGGCGGCCGGGCCGGCGGCTCCTCGCCACGGCACTGATCCTGGCCCTCCTCTGGCTGTCTCTCTCCCAGCATCCGCTCCTCCTGGGACTGTGGCCTCTTCGCCAACTACTCGGCCCCCTGGCAGGTGGTCCCTGAGCTGGTGGCCCTCTGGCTCCCACTTTCCAGCCAGCGCATCCTCCACTACCTGGGCTCCCACGCTTTCAGCTTCCCGCTCCTCACCCTGCTCAGGTGACTTTCAGGGCAGCGGGGGGCCGAGGGAACGGGTACCTGGGAGGGCAGGGTCCTTTCGTCCATGGGAACCCCAGACAGTCTCAAGGGATCCAGGAACCAGACAAGGAGAGCCAGGGATGGAGAGGGGTCAGGTCTGGTGGCCTGGAGGTTCCCCGGTGCCCCGGGCAAGCCTCCTCACATCCTCACCTGTAAAAGCCCCTGAAGTGACCACTGGGGCAGTATGGGGCCTGGCGCAGACACGCTGTGAGCCTGCCGTGAGGAGGAGAGGGGCTGAGCGACCCGCGGGAGGAAGGAGTTGAGAGAGAAAGCCGTGTCTGGGGTCCTGGAAGAGAGAGGCGCCCCGGGGGGTGTTTTCTGAGAGACAGAGGCAGGGAAGGAGGAAGTCGGGGGCTGACAAACTTTGCCTCCCCTTCTCTCCAAAGCCTTGTCCTGACCGTGTGCGTCTCCCAGTCCCAGGCCAGTGCCAGAGCCATCCGGAGACTGCGGAAGCAGCTGGTGTGGGTAAGTGTTCGCAGGACTGGGGAGGGGCCACGGGGACTGCTGGCGAGCCCCTGTTGGGGCCGCGGGCCGCCCATAAGAGCGGGGAAGATGATGAGAGAGGGAGCCAGGGCCTAAGTCTTGGCCTCATGCCAGGAGGAGCCAGGAGACAGGAATGTGGCTTTAGGCCTGGAGACCCGGCTTAATAGGAGTGTGGGTTTAGCCTGACGTCGAGGAGGCGGGACTATGGTGGGGGCGTGGTCTCAGGCCGGGGCGGGACCTGGTGGGCGTGGCTTTAAGGTAGGACGTTGTCTGGCGGGCGTGGTCTTGAGAAGGGGTGTTATTTGATGGGCGTGGTCTTGAGGAGTGGTGTCTTGGTGGGCGTGGTCTCTACCGTACGTGGGCGGGACCTGGACGGGGCGGAGTCTACCGCCGGAGATTAGTGGGGCGAGGCCGCAGCGGGGCGGGGAAGCAGGGCGAGCTCCGGTTGGGGCGGGGCCTCAGAGCGGCTACTGCTAGCTCGGCTGCATCTTCCCCCGCCCGCCTGCGGGTGAGAGGAGGTGCCGCTCCTAACCGGCCTGCTCGCCCCCTGCCTCCGCCTCAGCAAGTCCAGGAGAAGTGGCACCTGGTGGATGACCTGTCGCGGCTGCTATCGGAGCCGAGCTCCGGCGATTCTCTGGGGCCTGAGTCCCCTGTGTCCCGAGGATCGCGCCCGAGATCCTTCTGCCCCGGATTTCCGTGCCCGGGCTCTCCGGGACCCAGGCCCCGCAGGCCAGGACCCTCCCTTGAAGATCCCGCCGGGTTGCGCGGTGTTTTGGTCCCCGCCCATAGATTCCGCTTCCCCAGCGGTTCGGAGCTGTAGCACCGACTCCCTCCACCACTACCGCTGAGAACTTTGCCTGGCGCCCACGTGCAGCCCCCCACCTCTTGCCCCCTCGCCCCACGCTCCTGATCCCTGGTTCCCTCTCAGTGGACCCTCCAGCAAGGTACCGCAAGGTGGGGCACATACACCCAGGGGCAGCAGGAAGAGAATATGGGAACTTGTATTTACATTTTTATCTCTGTTCTTTAAAGTTTTCTAGTTTCGTTAAAGTTTTATAATATACATAATATATTAGCATAGCGACCCATGAATGTGCTTTATAAATACGCGTTCATTGGGGGTGCTCAGGAGTTGTTTACTGTGCAGAGTACCCTTGTAAAAGTTCGAGACCTTGGTCTGTTAGGGAAAGGCCTGGCCGCAGTGAAAGCAAATCTGCAGATGGGACTTGCCAGGCTCTGATTGCAGGCACCCCCACAGCCTCCTGTAATTCCTCCTTCACGTGTGAGGCCATTAAGACCCACAGACATTATGAGTCCGCAAGGGGCAGAACTCAGAGCTGATCTGCACCCTGAGACGCAGAGTGTGGGCTCCAGGGAGGCAGGAGCCCCCTGCCTAGCCCCCTGCAGGGCCATGTCCAAGATTCCCAAGCCTCTGGTGCCAAGGTTGCAGAGGTTCTCAATCCGTGGTTCCCAGGCTCAGAGAACACCTGAGAAGCCTATCAGATGCTGGCTCTATGCCAGCAATTCTGATAGGATTGATCCAGGTGCAGCCAGCAGCCCAGCATCGGGACTTTCTCAAGTGTCCAGGTGACTCTCAACAGCAGCCAGGGTTGAGAACTGCTGGCCTAAAGAGCCCTCAGGAGGGAAGGTCAGGAGAAACCGCAGAACATGCCTGACCAAACCAGCCTCTACGTCCAGAAGCAGGGGCCCAGTGCCTGGCTGGATTCCCAGCCTGGACATGGCGTCCGGGCGGCTCTGGCCTGGCGCCCTCAGTCCAGAGGCTTCATGTGGTCACTGGAGGCTTGGCTGTTACAGCTCCTTCTGTCGCTGTCCCTCTCTCTCACCCAGCGTCACATGACCCATCCATCTGTCAACAAGTGCTGGGCCCTGTTCTGGGGCTGGTGATGAGACTGCAGGAGACACAGTGAGCTGTGTGCTCAGTTTGGGGAGGGCGACCAGCCTGGCTGCAAAGAAAGTGACACACAGCGTGACACACATCATTAACTAGCAGCTTAGGGTCAACATGTGGTCCCCACCGAGCAGCACCAACAGCACCTGGGAACTTGTTAGAAAAGCCTATTGCCAGGCCCTGCCCCACCTTCTCGAATGGAGCGGAGCCCAGCCCTGTGGTTACGGAGTCCTGGGGGGTGGGGAGGTGATGCTGATGGCACTAAATGGGAGAACATCAAGGTCACCTGGAAACCTCACAGTCCTTCTCATCACCTACATGTCCATTCAGAGAACCAGCCAAGTGCATCACCGGATGTGAGGGGGATGAGCTTTGGGACTTGGAGGAACTCACTCTGAGCCTCAGTTTGCTTAGCCAAAACCTGGGGATGACGCTACTCTTCCCCATGTGGTTGCTTGTATAGCATCCTGATGGGTGTCCTGCCCTTCCTGGAAGAGCAGTTAAGGTCCTATTACAACATGGTCATTGGCCTAAAGGAAGTGGGAGAGACAGGAAGTGGCCCTGTGACCGTGCCCGCCCTGCAAGGCAACCTGGGGCTCAGCGAGGAGCCAGCAGGAGGGTTTTGTGGAATCAGGGGCCTTGGAGGAGAGAGGACTCAGACGGGAGATGAGGCAGAGGAGCAGGCTGAGCCAAGGTGTGGAGATGGGCCAGACAGGGCTTGGCTGCACAGACTGGGAATCTGAGACCTCTACACTGGGCTGTGGGGCCCATGAGGACCATCAGAGTGAAACCAGCATGCCCGAGGCTGGGCTTGGAGGGTCAGGGGGGCAGGTAGCGGCTTTGAGCCTCTCCGCCAGTAGCAAACAAGACACACGTGGGCAGGGAGAGGCCATGGGGTTACTGCAGTAGGTGAAGCCAGGGTGTCTCCAGGCAAGACAAGATCTGTACTGGCAAGAACCCAGTACAGATGCAGGAAGGCAGAAACCCCAGCACCTCCACCTCGGAGGGGCCCCACACTCTCCCTGCCCATCCTTGAAAGGGCTCCCAGCTGCACCAGCCAAGGCAGCCCAGCACCGACTCCCACTCAGGGGACCCTCCCAGGAATGGGACGCAAGGCAAACAAGGAGATGCTGGTAAGGCCGTCTTTTATAGGGGAGACACCCTCAGTGGGCAGAAATCACAAACTATCAGTCCCATGGATGACAGGAGAGCTCTGAGGACACCCCAACTCCACTCCATCTAGACGACCTGGGCTCCCCTGGGGCACCTGTTCAGTGCTGTGACACCTGCAGCCTGTGGTGAAGAGATGCAGAACAGCCTCGGCCCCCACCTGAGGGGCGCACGGGTGATGGCTGGGGAGGGGTACCCGGGGCGGGGCAAGAAGGATGGCCCTTGTTCCACCAAGGCCTGAGGGAAGTGTCCTTCGAGGCCACCCGCCGCTCTCTGCCCTGGCTCCTCAAATACACCGATAAAAGGGGGAGGGTTTTCATGAGCGGCCTCAGCTCGAATCCGATGCCTTGAACACAACGTGGAGGAAAAACCTCCAGCTTCTGAACCTTTAGGCAACAGCCTGCCCGCAGCTAAGGAGACCCTTCTGTCTGGAATCCTCAACTCCTCCCCCCACCCATCTCATCAGAGTTAGAACAGACTTTCTGGGAGGGAATTTCACTGGGAAACTAAGAATATTAGCTCTTGCTCCCCAAATGCAGAGAGGTAGATGGGTCCCCAGGGCATGTCCCCAGGGGTACAACTCAGGATTCTGGGTGGTGATTCCTGCCCACTGGGGACAAGGGACCACCAAGGTGACAGATAAAGCTAGTCCCCAAAGGAGCTCCAGGACACTGTCCAGGTTCTGGTTCCCAACCCCCAACCCCCCACCCCACCTACATCCTTCCAGCTGCTGGCAGGTGGGCTGGGTCATCCCACCAGACCAGCTTCCTGACACACCCAGACCTCAGGGACCCAGCAGCCGCTCCTGAGCCACGCCTAGGGGCCCAGGAGCCCAGACAAGGGTAGCTGGCCTTTCTTGGGTCAGGTGCCCCTTCCGGGGCTGTGCTGGGGGTGCGCGTGTCATAGACCTGTGAGGTTCTGGATGAGAGAAATGCCTGCAAGGAATGGTTTGCTGGGGTCGGGACACTGTCCTCGAGGAAGGCATCTGTGTACGGATCAAAGAGCCACATTCCATGAGAGCAGAAGAAAAACACATGCAACTACATCAATGTATAACGGAGTGTTTCAGTAAAGACACTTCATTCATTAAAAAAAAGGCCTTGTTGGGGAGGTACCCGTCCTCCCTGGGGATGCTGGTGACACTGCGGGATTGGCTGGGTGCTGGCCCCCACCTCACCTGTTCCCTCTCGTCTCTGCCCTGAGGCCCCAGCCTTAACGGGTCCAGTCCTTCAAAAGGACCCTCATGATTCCATCAGGCTTCTCAGGTGGCTCAAGAATCTGCCTGCCAACGCGAGAGCCACAAGAGACGCAGGTTCAGTCCCTGGGTTGGGAAGATCCCCTGGAGAAGGAAAAGGCAACCCACTCCAGTACTGTTGCCTAGAGAATCCCACGGACAGAGCAGCCTGGCAGGCACGACTGAGCACACGAGGCACACAGCATGATTATATCAGGCCCCCCTCGCTGCTCTGGGATAGCCCCCTCATCCCCAAATCAGCAAGCTAGCAAGTGCCATCCCCCTGGCCAGCTACCAGAACGCACTCCAGGGTTAGGATGTGGGCACCTTCTTCCCCAGGGTCCTACTGCTCAGCAGTGGTGGCAACCATGAGCCCTGGATTGGTTCTGAGCCCCTCCTAATCCCCTGGGGGTGTGGGAAGCATTGCTGTTCTGGGCCCAGCCCCAGGGTGCTGTGGTCTCCATGTTATCTCCCCGCTGCAGGCATGCACCCACCCAGGGAGCACCCAGGGGCTCTGGTGGGCTTCGATCAAGGAAACGCTTGCTGGGTGGAGGGCAGTTTGTCAGAGGCCTGAGGCTCCTGCTGCTGCTCTCTTTGGCTGCCCTAGGTGAGCTGCTCAGGGACATCGTGGGAGGGGGCTGCTGCCAAGGCCTTGAGGTGGCAGGCTCAAGGTCCAGGGGTCTAGGGAGCACAGAAGAGGTGGGACCCAAAGGCCCAAACCCTGGAAGCACAAGACAGAGAGGGGAGGATTTGGGCTTGAGTCACAGACCAGCCCCTTATTGCATGCATGTTGGTTTAGTCACTAAGTTTTTTCTGAATCTTGCAACCCCATGGACCGCAGCCTGCCAGGCTCCTCTGTCCATGGGATTCTCCAGGCAAGAATGCTGAAGTGGGTAGCCATTTCCTTCTTCAGGGGATCTTCCTGATCCAGGGACCAAACCCAGGTCTCCTGCATTGCAGGCGGATTCTTTACTGACTGAGCCAGCGGGGAAGCCCCTATTGCATGCATTACTGCTTTGCCATTCTGGGCCCACTCTTTATACTCATCTGCAAAATGGGCTCATGAGACAAAATACTCTGGGCTTCAAAGAGCTTCTGTGAGCGAAGATGCTTGTGAGGTCCTGGTCCTCCCTCTGGGCTCAGGACGAGGCTCTCTGGGTGGGCTCTGGCCGTCTCTAATCCCTGGGTCCTCCTGACCATGCTCACCTCTCTTACAGCCACCAGCAGCTCCTCACAGGAGAGAGGAGAGTTGCCCAGCACACTGCGGGGAGGAGTACCCCCAGCTGGGGACCCTGGCGTCAGGCCCCCGCCTGTGGCAGAGACCTTGGCTGGCAGGGTGAGAGGTTGTTGCTGGTGAGTGGCGTCTGCTGCCAGACAGCTGGACAGTTCTGGAACCCCAGGCTCCACCCTGCAGGGCCCTGGGGGGTCGGAGAAGAGACGGCTCAGCAGGAGGGGGTAGGCAGGGACAGCAGAGCATGGTGGGCACAGTGATATGGACCCAGGAAGTGCTTGGCTTCCCCTTGGGCTGGGCAGGCATTACCAGTGGAGGGGGCAGAGGGCGTGTCCCCTGGGGGCATATCCAATCACTCTGCCCCAGTGACTGGTCTGTAGAGGGAGTCCTGGGTGGGGGTGACCCCAGGGCAGGCCAGGGGCGTTCCGCTGGGCGCCTCGGCCCAGGAGGAGGGCAGTGAGAGAATGAGGAAGTCTGGGCTCCCCCCACCACACCCCTGCCCTGAGGTCCAGTCAACAGGAAGCTGCCCGACTCTCAGAGGCAGCAGGAGGGTGTCAGCGCCCCCACCACCCCACTCCCCACAAAGCCGCCTGGTGGTACAGAGCCAGGGAGAGAAGATGCTCCTGGTACCGCCTCTGCCCGTCCGCTTTCCCCCTCCACCTGTCTGCTCCCCCTCCCTTCTCCTGCCCTCTCCCATGCTCCCTTCTATCCCTGTGACCCTTAAGGTCAAGGGGATCAGTCACCTGCTCCTCTCCAAGCGGGGGCAGGGGCTGCCCCTCCTCTGGTGTCGACGGGACCCGTACCTTCTCCCTTCTCAGGGCTGTGGCCTCAGCCGCCTCGATTCCACTGAAGGGTGGGTCTCACTTGAATGCAGCAGAGGCTGAACTGTCATTTCCTCATTTGCTTTAAAAACAAACACATCATGGTGTTTCCGATAAAAAGAGAACAACTCTCAGCCCAGGCCTCTGGGCCTCCGGGAAGTACCTGGGTAGACCCAGTCCACCCCCTCCAGCCCTTGACTTCTGCTCAGACTCTAGGCCACAAGCCCTGCTATCTGAACTCCTAAGGGACTGACTGACAGATCATTCATTCAATCATTCAACAGCTACAGGTTGAGCACCTTTTGGTGCCAGCTGCTACTCGAGGCCCCGGGATGGATATACAAGGTGGGGAAACAAAACAGAGATCCCTTTAAAAAAGAAAAGAAACAGAGATCCTTGCCCTCAAGTAGCTTACATTCTAGTGGGGCCGGGGGGCAGATGATAATAAAAATAAGCACATTTGGGACTTCCCTGGCAGTCCAGTGGTTAAGACTCCCCGCTTCCACTGCAGGGGGCACGGGTTGGATCCCTGGTCAGGGAACTAAGATCCCACACACCTCTGGAGGTGCAGCTCCCTTCCCACAAAAGCACATTCTGCAGCGCACTAGAATGTGGTATGAGCAGGGACTTGGCGTTGTGGGCAGAGCGTTGGGAGGATGTGCAGCGGGAGGCTGGACCTGGTTTGCTCTTCAGAGGGTCGTTTTGGCAGCTGTGTTGAGAAGAGATGGGATGGGGACCAAGGGTAGAATCCTAGGGAGTCATTAGACTGGTCCCAGGATCCAGAGGACAGACTGGGTGGTAGCCAGGAGGCCTGACCAAGTGGTCAAGATGTATTCTGGTGGTCAGGCCAACCGCCGTTGCTGATGGAGGGAGCGGTGGGAAAGAGGGAGCTCTGGAAGATGACTTCCGGGTTTTCGGTCTGAGCAACAGGAAGATTGGCGAAGTCAAGGGCAGCCTTACAACTACTGATTACTATCAGTAGAAGCAAGAGGTTGGGCCCGAAACATTGGATGTTAAGGAATGGAAGAGCCACGATTTTGGGAAGAGTCTCTATTTGAATTCCCCAGGAATCACGGCAAGTGCAGTATGGAGTGTAGCAGGAGCCAGGTGCAAGAGTCTTCAAGGGACGGTGGGCATTCTTAGGTCATTTTAACTCAGAAGGACAGGGTACAGTATCTGAAGACAGGAAGTTCAAGGCTGTCCCTCCCCTCTCCACTCCTAAAACCCACTTCAAAATCCTCAGGGTGAGGCTCCAGACCATTCACAAGTATCACTTGGAAGGGGGCTGCTCTATGGAAGCACCATGCAGAAAATGATTCTCTCCTGGTTCTGGAGGCAGAAGTCTGAAGCCTTGCTAGTGGGGGCTCTGGTAGTCCTTGGCCTTCCCTGGCTTGTGACAGCATCACTCCAAATTCTGTCTCTGTCTTTACAAGACCTGTGTGTATGTGTCTTTGTCTCTTCTCTTGTGTGTGTGTGTGTGTGTTAGCTGCTCAGGCATGCCTGACTCTTTGCAACTGCATGGATTGTAGCCCGCCAGGCTCCTCAGTCCATGGAATTCTCCAGGCAAGAATACTGGAGTGGGTTGCCATTCCCTTCTCCAGGGGATCTTCCCCACCCAGGGATCGAACCCAGGTCTCCTGCAGTGCAGGTAGCTCTTTACCACCTGAGCCAGCAGGGGCTTCCCTTCTCTTGTAAGGACCCACCCTAAACTGGAGTCCATTTATAAGGACCCCATTTCCAATAAGGTCCATTCCCAGTAAGGCTTAAATACATCTTTTTTGGAGGACTGAGTTCAACCTTCAGCAGGTACCTGCCTATTCAAAATCAGATCCCTGAGCCCCAGCTCAGATCTATTGAATTGGGTCTCCAAGGTTGGGACTTCAATCTCCAAGCATCTGGGTGATCACAGAAACAAGCAGGGATGATCTCCAAGGCCTCTGAGCCTAGCTGGGCAGTAGCCCCACTGCCCTGACCTAGGCACAGCCCTGAGAGTGTCCTTCTTTTTTTAGCCACCGTGGGAGGCGCTGCAAAGCCACTCAATCAGCCCGGCCCTGGCCAGGCTCAACTTCCGGTCCCAGTCCTGAGGGTATCCTTGTCACTTGATCAAATTCTGAGTGTGTCTGAGTGATCAAATTCAGATGTTCAGACACCTGACAAATTCAGATGGACAGAGACACAGACACATCAGACACAGTTGATGAATTTTTAATTAAATGATAGATCACTCGTTATCTGTGGGGGTGGGCTCGATGCATACACTAAATAATCAAAAGGGAAGAACAACACAAGCCTTGTCAGAATAAAAAGTGAATGCTCTGCCCTGTAGGAAATGAAAATAGAAAGTGGCTCCTGTCTCTGAACTTATGTAAATCAGGCTTCTATTAATGGCCACTGGAATGGAAATGAAGCTGGGCCAGCTTTTTCTTTCCACTTTTGTCAAGTCAAGGTCATTTCCTCACAACGAAGGGGGCAAAAAATATCATCACCCTTAAGTCTGGTCCCACATTTCCCCAGGGAGGAAGATTCTGGCCCCAAGAGCGTCTTTGGGCAGAGAGCCGTTGGCAGTTTGACCCCAGAGTCACGTTGATGAAATTGTTGGTAGCAGTCTGTAAACTGGTGCCCCAGAGAGTAGATTAAATTCTAGATAGCGCTTTACTTAACTTTTTCTTTGCACAAAAGAGTGTTTGAAAAAAAGCATGGAAAAAATCGAGGGTTCTCATGAAGTTTAGAAAGAGGCTCAGATGGGAAAAAATTTGTGATGATTGAGCAACCCTGGGCGAGGGGAGAATCCTGATTCAGCAAGCCTGCTGCTGGTGGTCTAGACATTTCCCAGCATTGACACTATTGCCATTGGGGCCGGGTAGTTTTTCAATAGGGGCTGTCCTGCGCATTGGAGAAGGCAATGGCACCCCACTCCAGTACTCTTGCCTGGAAAATCCCATGGGCGGAGGAGCCTGGTAGGCTGCAGTCCATGGGGTTGCTAAGAGTCAGACATGACTGAGCGACTTCACTTTCATTTTTCACTTTCATGCATTGGAGAAGGAAATGGCAACCCACTCCAGTGTTCTTGCCTGGAGAATCCCAGGGACGGGGGAGCCTGGTGGGCTGCCGTCTACGGGGTCACACAGAGTCAGACACAACTGAAGCGACTTAGCAGCAGTAGCCCTGTGTAATGTAGTGCGTTTAGCAACTTCCCTGGCCTCTCCTCAACTCAATGCCAGGAGCACCCTACCCCTCATTGGTGACAACCAAAACTGTCCTCAGACACAAAAATGTCCTTGGAGGTAGGATCACCCCAGATTGAGAACCACGGGTGGAGAAAGAAATATGCTTAATGGTAAGAAACTTTAGGATCCCTAGAAAACTTCTCTGAAGAACATCATATTCTAGTTTCTTCCAATTTTCTGCTCAGTGAGTAGTTTTCTGATCACAGCACTTCCAGAGCCAACGTTCCTGGCAGGACGAAGATGATGTATGAAGTATATGATATTTGGATATCATACACCCATCTCTACCCCCCGCCCAAGCACCCCCTCCACACACTCCTCAAAAAATCTGGGAGGCACCCCCTATGCATCATTCAGCCCTCTCTCCCAAGCCCCCACTCAGAAGGCATCTTTGTTTAATCCTGATCACTGTCAGAGAATTCACTATGGGCAAGCCCAGGCCAAAAGGAAGATCTTAGAGATGCCTGGATTTTGTGCTCAGTCATGTCTGACTCTTGCGACCCCATGGACTGTAGTCCGCCAGGCTCCTCTGTCCATGCGGACTATTCAGGCAAGATTACTGGAGTGGGTTGCCATGCCCTCCTCCAGAGGATCTTCCCAACCCAGGGATCGAACACAGGTCTCCCGCATTGCAGGTGGATTCTTTTACTGACTGAGCCAGCAGGGAGGCCCTGCATTGGGTCTCAGTTACAGCATGTGGGATCTAGTTCCCCGACCAGGGATCGAACCCAGGCCCCCTCCATTGGGAGCCCAGAGTCTTAGCAACTGGACCACCCGGGAAGTCCCAAGATGCTTGCTACATCAAAATCAACTTCAGGATCTACCTACAAAACAGAAAAGTTACTTGCAAGCAGAGAGGCTGTGTGGATGGATGAATGCCTGCTGCGAGGGGCTGCAGAGTGGGTTTTGGCCCTGGATCCAGGGAGGAGAGTTCTCTGGGTCCTGTGAGCATCTGCTCTCCCTATGTTTCTGAAGTCCTTGCCTTTCCTAAAGTGGCCTGTTTCTCTAGTTCCGTCCCTCCTCTCTGAGTTTAGGATCCCTCCACCATAGCATCTCTTGTGGTCTGGATCATACCCACCTGCCTCCTGCCTTCTGACTGCCCCTTTGAATCAGATGTTGACCTTCTGGTGGCAGGATCCTGGCCACCACCCCCACAGCCCGTGTCCCCAGAGTAGGTGTGGTGGTATCCAGTTATTTTCGCAGTAAACATCTTTGTCTAAGGCATCATCACCACATACCTAATTAACTAGTTGGCCAGAAGGCAATTTTGCCATATGAATATAAAAAGTAAATAAAAGAGGGACATTTAAAAGGACACAATGAACCATGAAAAATGAACTGAAAAAATAAAGACTTTGTTATTAAATAGAAAATATTTTAATATATTTAAAATATATGTAGGAACGTCCCTGGTGGTCCAGTGGTTAAGACTCTGCACTTCTAATGTAGGAGGCAAAGATTCGATCCCTGGTTAGGGAACTAAGATCCCACATGCCATGTGGCTCAGCAAAAAAATTTTTTTAATGTGTGTAGATTCATGGCCATGCAACATAAATAAGTGATTTTATTTTGGGTGTTGTATCTAAGCACTTGTCTTCCAAGTCTTTTATTCATAATATTTTATCCTCCCCGCTCCCCACTATCCATTGATTGATCTCCTCATTCAGCATCACACTTTTTCTTGTTTACTAAAATTTTTTCATTCATTAACAGAGGTATCAGTTTCCAAACACTAGGATGCTGTTCATAACACAGCTTGTCCTGTGCTGAGGGAAACTTTTACACTGTTGTGTACTCTTGGCACATTGTCACATGTCTGTTGATAGACGTTCCAAAGTTCTACAGGAAATGGGGGTTTAATTCTGTGCTTTCAAATCACCAAAGGATTTGCAAACTGATATGTTATCGTTTTCTAGTATAATATGTCATCTGGCTTTATCCTCTCATTTCACACTTTCAGTTTTATCACTGCATTTTCTATCAAGTCAATATTACATAACTGTTATCACCCATTACTTTAAGACCATCACATTTATACTTGTCACTGTATAGTCACACGGGGTAAGATTTATGTAATATAAACATGGGAGTCCTGTATCAATAGAGAAATGAAACCCAGTTGTCAACCAGTTATTTTATCTTTTATGGCAGAACTGCCTCATGGCCAATTAGTTATGAAATGAAAATGTTTGTAGAGGAAGTGCCCGCGGCAAAGATGTGTATGGTGGAGATGTTTACCATGAAGGTACCAGAGTAGGTCTGGATGAAGAAACCTCTGATCTCTGATCTCAGAAGGTGGACAGGTCCTCGACATCTCCAGGCCACTGCCAAGGATCAGGCCTGAATGCTGGGCCAGCTCGTCAGGTGCCTGGTCCACCTTGTACCTCATTTGTCCCCATCCTGGGAGGAAATCCCCAGCTTCAGGGTGTCCTCAGGGAGCACCAGGACCATACGACTCAAGTTTCACCACTGTGTCGCAGATGCAAGGAGCAGATGCCACACTTCAGCGTGCAACCCGAGAGCAACTGCTTTGTTCAGCCAGCAGATAGTAACTTTCTGGTCTCCCGCCTTGGGCCAGGGAGGCAGTGCTTTGCAGGACTGGCAGAGCACCTGGCCCCTGCAACAGCGGACAAAACTGTTGGCTCTAGAAGTTGAATCCGGTGTCAGCTCTCCCAACCTGTGTTCCAGATTTCTCCGCGTGTCCCACTCATGTCCTCATTTCAATTAATCTCTGTAGTAATGTTATGAGCAGAAAGAGTCTAAACCCAACGGGTGGACTTTATCTCCAGCAGTTTCTTTTTTCTTTAAAAAACTGAGGTGAAATTCACATGACACAGTTAACCATTTTAAAGTGATAATTCAGTAGTGTTTAGTCCATTTCCATTTCCCAAAAGGAAACCCCATACCCCTCAAGCAGTCACTCCTCATTGCCCCTCACCTGGCGCCTATTAACCACTCATCAGCTTTCTGACTCTGGAGATTTTTTATTTTATTATTTATTATAATAATAATTATTATTATTTTTTGCCACACTCTGTGGCATGCAGGCTCTTAGTTCCCTCACCAAGGATAGAACCTATGCCCCCTGCAGTGGAAGCATGGAGTCCTAAGCACTAAACCACCAGGAAATTCTCTGGGGATTTTTTAAGTTTTGGCTATTTCACATGAATGAAATTATACAATATGCAGCCTCTTGGGTCTGACTTATTTCACTCAGTATAATATTTTTAAGAGTCATTCATAGTGTATTAATAGCAGGTGTCACTGCTTCATTCCTTTTTATGGCTGAATACTATTTCATCTTATAGATGGATCACATTTTGTTTATTCATCATCCATTGATGGACATCTGGGCTGTTTCCACTTTTTGGCTGTCGTGAACAGCGCTGCTGTGAACATGTGTGTACAAGTATCTCTTAGCGTCCTTATTTTCAATTGTTTTGATATATATCTTAGAGTAGAATTGCTGGGTCATATGGTAATTGGAGAAGGGAATGGCTACCCACTCCAGTATTCTTGCCTGGAGAATCCCCACGGAGAGAGAAGCCTGGCAGGCTACAGTCCATGGGGTCGCAAAGAGTCAGACACGACTGAGCGACTTTCACTTCACTTCATTTCAAGGTAATTCTTTAATTTTTTTGAGGAATTGCCAAACCAGCATTTTCTTGATAAACATTGGTTTCCTTCTTCCTGTTTGGACTGTCTCACTTCCCAGAAGCCGTCTTGAAGAGACCTCCTAAATTTTGCTCATTGTTAACCTGAAATTCAAAATTAACTGAGTGTCCTGCATTTTTAGTAGCTAAATCTGGCAATCCAGAATATACTACATGAGAATAAAATCAAATTTGAAATTGTAGGGTATACACTGCAAGTAGGGTAGAAGCTCAGATACAAGATGGAGGGAGTAATCCAGACGGCTGCCTGGAAGAGGCAGTAATCAGTCGGGCCTCTAGGCTTATTGTTGTTGTTTAGTCGCTAAGTCGTGTCTTTGCGATCCCATGGACTGTAGCCCACCAGGCTCCTCTGTCCATGAGATTTTCCTGGCAAGAATACTGGAGCGGAATTTCCTTCAACTGGTACTGCCATTTCCTTCTCCAGGGAATTTTCCTGACCCAGGGATTAAACTCCCTGCTTGGATCTCCTGCTTGGCAGGCGGATTCTTTACCACTGAGCCACCTGGGAAGCTCTTCTAGGTTCATTAGGCATTATGTAATGAGGCGTTTTGCTAGGGAGAGGGTGTTAAAGTCTCCCAACCTCACCTGTGCTCCTGCCCTCTCCCCACTGCCAGAGCCGGTGCCCCAGCTGCAGGCTGACTGCACCCTGCCAGACAGCAGGCCAGGCCTCAGGGTAGAGGTGTTCTGCGGGCATCCTCGGGCAGCCCACCTACAGACTTGTCAGAAGGGACAGGCTCACCCACATGCTGTAGATTCCAAACCCAGGGGGAGTCTGCCAACTTCTCCTTCCCACCAAAGCAGACGTCGGACTAGTTCTGGTGCCAGGCTGAAAGTGACATCGATGTCCAGCACAGTCCCTTCACACTGGTACTCCCAGGTAAGAGGGCCTGTGGTTTCTAGAAGGGCAGCTGCCACTTCTGGTAGGTCAGTGGGAGGTGCTGAGAGCAGGGAAGGGTGCCCTGATGTGGCCATGCCTACCCTGGCCTGGCCTGACATGGGCCCAGCCCAGCTGCCCCCGCCTCCTTCACAGGAGAGCTGCACCAGGAAGCCACCTTCGTGCTGGTTGGTATCCTCATCTCCATCATAGCCTTCTTTTCTTGGAAACTGATGTGGACCAAGCAAACCAGGTAGGAAACAGGTGCTGGATGTGGGGGAGGAGTGAGCTGCTGGTGGCCTGAGGGGACCCACCGGGGCCCTGGCTGGGCAGAGCTGGTGGGGGTTGGCAGGGCAGGGCTGCCGCTGTGGTCGGGCAGGACGCTTTGGGGCCTTCCTGGGACAGACCCCTCTCCCATCCCTACTCTGCTGTAGCTCCTCTCTGAAGTACCCACATAACAGACATAGGAAACCCGCATAAGTTACCCACATAACCCACATCTCAGACACAGGGATTTCTCGGGTGCTAAAACCCACCACCAAATGGAAGCACTTAATTACTTGATGACCATGGGCTCATAACCCTGGCACCTTCTGGTGCCCAAGGATTGATAATGCTAACCTCTGTGACACCAACCTGTTCCCTCAGCCTCACCAATCAGACAACTGATCACATACCCTCCTGAGACGCTCTTCCTTCCCCTGGCCCATAATGTTTTGCTGGAACTCTTCGAGGAGTTCAGGGTTTGAGACGGGGTCGGGGCTGGAGGTGGGGGGCATGAGCCCCCCCGCCTTCTCCTTGCATGGCCCTGCAATAAACCTTTCTTTGCTCCAAACTCCGACATTTTGGTTTCTTTGGCCTCGTGGTGTGTTGGGCAGAGGTAACACCATCAGGGCAACGAAAGGGCCATATTGCTTAGGCGTGACTTGCAAAAGCTTACTAAGGGCCGAGCATGTGTCAAGTGCCCATGAAGCGCATTGGCGGCTTTATCTGACCTTGATCATGCTCTAGCCACCTTCCCGTGGGGTCTGCTGACTCTGGTGGGGGCACTCTCCCATGTTCCCAGCCATCTGAGGAGGATGAGGCCACCCGGGACCAGGGTGGGCCAGGGGCTTCTACTCTCCATGGGAACCCTGTCCATCTTCCCAGCTGGTGACTGGAGACAGGGGCTGGATTTCCTGGGGTCCCCTCTCCAAGGCCATGACTTCACTGACTTGTAAAGTTGTTGCAGGAAGGGGGATCCCTTCCAGGACCCAAAGGTGGGCTCTTGTCTAACACTTGGAAATAAACTGTCCAAGGAGACACACGTGCTGACAAAGCAAGAGACTTTGTTGGGAAGGGGCGCCCGGGCAGAGAGCAGCAGGACGAGGGAACCCAGGAGGACTGCTCTGCCGCCGGGCTCACAGTCTCGGGTTTTATAGGGATGGGGTTCGTTTCTGGGTTGTGTCTGGCTAATCTCTCTGACTCAGGGTCCTTCCTGGTGGCATGTGGGTCACTCAGCCAAGATGGACACCAGCGAGAAGGATGGGAGGTTGGTAGGACATATGGATCATCTCCTTTCTCCTTTCGACCTTTCCTGAATTCTTTGGGTCGGCGGTGACTTGTTAGTTCGGCATTCCTTACCAGGACTCCTGTTGTAAGAAAACTCACGTAAATGACCTTTGTGCTGCCCAACCCCAGGCGCTGCGGGTCTGCGCGCTCCACCTGCCTGGCCTTTGGCAATGGTCAGCTCTGCCTCCTGAACTTGTCACCTCTCGTGGTTCCTAAGACACTGCTGTCTTCTGGCCCTCCTCCCCACTCCTGTGTTAGCGAGCCTGTCACCCTAGAATCACACCCCTGCCCCTCCGTCGAACAGAAACCAACTACTCTTATCTAAGTTTCAGGAGGAAGCAACAAAGAAAAAAAAGAACCAGTTAACACCAACAAGACCCAAGATGGCAGAGGATTAGACTTCCAATGGATCTAGAGCTTATTATACACTCTATACATTAACTCTAGAAGACATACCCACCCGCGCTAGGATGGTTGACAATCACCATGACGATAACTGGAAAAGCCCCCACAAGGACTGAAAAGGAGAGCTGCACCAGTTTCAGGTCCAAACCACACCCCTGTTCTTGGATAAAATGTTCCTCTTGCTCTTCCAAACCCTCCCTTTTACTCCAACCATCCTATATATTTAGTGTCTCCATCTGAATTGGCTTGAATTGATTTACAAACTAGGTTCCCACTTCAGTCTTTGGCCATTGAATAAAGCTGGTGCTGTTCCAGTCACAGCATTGGTTTTGTTAGTGTCTGTGCAAACCTAATCAGAAAAAGAAGCTTCCTGACTGAGATCAGGGGGTCTCAGCCCGGGCTCGGACCCCCAGTGCTGACCTAGTCGACCAATTTGGTAATACCCAGCCAGCGTCTTCAGTGGGCTTTCTCCAGAAGTCTGTCCTTGAAACTCTCCTTGTCTTACCTCCAAGTTTCCTCTTCCCAAATCTGTGCTTTACAGACGCCAGGCTCATGTCGGCTCTCTGAGCCTGTTTCCCCTTTTATAACATGGGGTATAGAGACCAGTGGCCAGTGCTTACTTTCCAAGTGATTCAGTGCCCCCTTTATTTAGTGGGGTGACTAAGCCTCCTGCCCCTCCTCCTGCCCACAGCACTGATGCACTTGGCACCAATAAAATTCCTGGAGGCCTTGGGAAGGGGGTGGCTGGGAGGTGTGCTAGCCTCACCTGGAGGCTCAGCCCCTTTGTCATCAAGGCTGGGACCAGAAGACAGCCCCCAGGAGAGACAGCCCTGGGCCTTGTTCCCTGTGGAAGGACCCTCCATTTGAAGAAATGAAAAGAAGAAAAGAATGATGGAAAAGCCCACCAGCCTGGATCTTGCAGCCCTGGGGTTCCTCATCAAACATACATGGTGATAGTTTGAGGGTTTTAGAATGGGATGTGGGTGGTGGCAGGGGAGGGGAGGTTGTAGGAGAAGGAGGGTCCGTGAGTCCATGCCTCAGCTGCTTGTCACCCTCCATCCAGGTCTGGGAAGAGGGTGGGGTGGAAAGTGAAGGCTCAGAGGCACCAACCCACTCAGGGCCACTGCCTCCCCCCGCCCCCCCTCCCTGGAGTGGCGCCCCATCTCCTGGTGGTGTCTGGCTCCACCTCCCACCCGTCTGTCCAGCTCACCTGGAAGACTCCGGGCCCCACATGGCCAGCACCCCCTCATTAAGCCTTACCTGCAACCAGGATGGCTGGAACTCCTGCCTGCAGAGTCAGCCTGAGGCCCCTGGAGAACTACCCCCCACCCCCCAAACTCAACCCCCACTCTCCAGACACACGCAGTCATTCCAGTTTGGACTCTCTGAGCCATTTTCGGAAAGAACTGGATTAAACTCTGCCCCCTGCCTGTCACCCTGGGAACTTCCTTTCTGTCCACACACCAGCTTGGAGCCTGGAAGTCGGCCCTCACAAAGCCCTCCCTTCAAGGCCTCCAGGCTGGGCTGGGTCCGGGAAGAATTGGGAGGGGCCGTGGTGTTGGAGAAGACTCTTGAGAGTCCTTTGGACTGCAAGGAGATCCAACGAGTCCATCCTAAAGGAAATCAGTCCTGGATATTCATTGGAAGGACTGCTGTTGAAGCTGAAACTCCACTACTTGGGCCAAGTGATGCGAAGAACTGACTCATTTGAAAAGACCCTGATGCTGGGAAAGATTGAAGGCAGGAGAAGTGGATGACAGAGGATGAGATGGTTGGATGGCATCACTGACTCAATGGACATGAGTTTGAGTAAACTCCGGGAGTTGGTGATGGGCAGGGAAGACTGGTGTGCTGCGGTCCATGGGGTCGCAAAGAGTCAGACACGACTGAGTGACTAAACTGAACTGTGGTCTCACCCCACCGCAGGTTTAGCTCCAAAGAGGAGGAAAGAGTGACAGGCCAGGCGGGGAGGGGTCCAGGCTGTGGCCCCGGGGCTGGGGTAGAACAGGGGAGAAGAAAGGGGGTGCATAGGAGCCTGGGTCGTGGACAGGTGGGACGCAGACGGGCATCTAGCGGAGCTTCCTGGAGGAGGAGGCGGGGATGCAAGGGCAAAAAGTGGCTGGAGCAGAGGGGCGAGCCCTCCTTGCGACCCTCTCTTCCCGGGGACTCTCTGAACCCTTTCCAGCAGGGCTGCGGGCCAGCATCGCAGAGGGACGAGACCCCAGCCGAGACGTGGGCTAGACAATGAGCCCGCGACCGCTGGACCGACTTCGGTGACTGGCAGCGCAGGCCAGGCCAGGCCAGGCCGTCGGGGCTCCGCGGCCGCCTGGGCACCGCCGCTCGCCTTGAGCGGAACTTTGCCCTCGGTCCCTGGGGCGGCGCTGGCCACGCCCCCGGGGGAGGAGTCGAGTCGGGGGCGGGGAGGCCGCCTGGCTCCTCGGCGGTCCGCGGCGGCGGCGGCGGCGGCGACGGCGACATGGAGAGTGGGGCGTACGGCGCGGCCAAGGCGGGCGGCTCCTTCGACCTGCGACGCTTCCTGACGCAGCCGCAGGTGGTGGTGCGTGCTGTCTGCTTGGTGAGCCTGGGTGCGGGGCCGCGGGGACCCTACTTCGTCGCCAGGCCGGGGGCGGCGAGGGCGGAGGGGGCCTCTGCGCGCCGGAGAGCGCGACAGGTGGTAGGGGCCGAGGCGCGGGGGTGGAAGCGGCGCGCGCGGGGCGGGCGAGCGGGGCCCGGGACCCTACAGCGGCTCACCACCGCCCGCACCCCGGGGCCCCGCCGCCCACCCCCACTTCGATCCCCGCCGCCCCCCACCCCGGGCCCTGCCACCCCCACCTCCCGGCCCGGGCACCGGGTGGCCCGGGAGGCGCCGCCGGGAGCAGGCCTGTCGCCCTGCTGGCAGTGGGAGGAGTTTGAGACGGCTCCAGGACAGGTGGCCAGCGTGCCACGACTTCCAGCCTGGGGTAATTCATCAGCAGGGGGGCTTTCCGAAGCCACGTGGGGTGCACGGGGTTGCGGGGGAGGGCCTGGCCACCCTGAAACAGAGCCTGTCTTCCACTCAAGAGCAGCCCATGGGTCTGCTTCCCCACCCAAGGTCAAGTGACTCTAGTCTGTGCCCCTCCCCCTGAGCTGGGTGAGCCGCCAGCACCAGGTTACTGGGGCAGGGGGTTGGTGGGAGGTCCCCTGCTCTTGGACAAGCAGAGCTCAAAGCTGGACAAGGTGTTAGCCAGCCCGCAGGCAGAGGGCTGGGCCTACAGTAGCCACACCGCACCTGCCTGGGGCTGAAGCCCTGTGAGTTGCCCTGGTGACACCCTCATCCACACTCTGCCTGACCTGTGGGGTCCGACCCCAGGAGCAGATGCCCATGTTTCGAGATGGCAGTGCCAGGAGTCAGGCTGGCACACCGCTCCCAGCATCCAGAGTTCCGGCTTCATCTCCAGCTGGGGGTGGGGCTTGTGACTGCCAGCTCTGGAGCCTATTGAGAGGGCCTTGTACAGGCAGGCAGGCAGGGCAGGCGGGGGAGAGGCCTGGGCTAGTCCCAGAGGGAGCCAGGTGTCCAGACTCATATAAGGCAGGGTGGGGCGGTAGCCTTTCAGTTTGGGGCGGAGACAGATGATGTGAGGCTGCTCCCAAGGGCCCGGAGCCTCTCCCAGAGTTGTGGCTGGTGCACCTTCTTGACCCCCTACCCCAGTGCCTCCAGGGTCGAGTACAGAGCTGTGTCCACAGGCCTGCTGGGCAGACCCGCTTGATATGCCCTGTGTGGGTAGGACTCGCTATGGGCAGAAGCCAACAGGGATTCCCTGGGAGGCCAGGGGACAGGATGCCAAAGAGCCCAGAATTTTTTGTAGGAGGAAAACTGGCCAAACTGGGGAGCCCAGCCTGGACCAGGGAAAAGTCGAAGAGGGCTGTGGGAGTTGGCAGTCTGGGGACCCGGTTTCAGTTCAGAGGCCTGGTTTCAGGGTGTTCAGGCCAAGGCTGGGCGCTGGAGAGGTGACTCAGGCAGGTGGTGATCGGGGGTGAGACTCCAAGCTTGGGTTTCTCTGACTTTGTGAGCCATCCTGCTTAAAACTCACTAAAAGTGGGAGTGGTCAGGCAGAGCCATCCCCCAGGCAGACAGCGGGGTGGGCAGTCCCCACCCAGGAGATCCCCCTGCACTCCCCACTGTCCTCAGTCCAGGAATCCCCAGTCATGCCCCTCATGACGGATGTCTGGAGAAGGGAGTGGGGAGGGGACTTGCTCCCCAAGTTCAGGAAGGGCTGGGTCGCTGACCTCCAGCAGGGGAACAGCAGGAGCGGCGGAGGCCAGTGTCCCCTCCTGTCAGGGTCCCACTCCATGTGCCGCCTGGGGGTGTGGCCCACGAGGGTGGCGGTCACTCAGCCCTTCCCCCGCCTCCTGCTCAGGTCTTCGCCTTGATTGTCTTCTCGTGTATCTTCGGCGAGGGCTACAGCAACACCCACAATTCCCAGCAGCAGTACTGCGTGTTCAACCGCAATGAGGACGCCTGCCGCTACGGCGCCGCCATCGGGGTGTTGGCCTTCTTGGCCTCAGCCTTCTTCTTCGTGGTTGACGTCTATTTCCCCCAGATCAGCAATGCCACTGACCGCAAGTACCTGGTCATCGGTGACCTGCTCTTCTCAGGTATCGGCCAGCTGGCTGCACCTCCATTTGATCTTGGGGTGAACAGGAGCAGCAGTGTTTCCAGAAGCTCTAGGGGTCTCTGGCTGAAGGCTGGGCAGGGGTGGGAGCAGCCCCGGGTCTCCCCACGCCCGCAGTCAGGCTGGCACACAAGGACTTCTCACCATCCGCTGAAACCCCCTGGAGCTGAGTGGGGCTTGGAGCAGAGCCCTAGAGAGGGCATCCTGTCCCCACCCCAGCTTCTGCATCAGCACCTCTGCACCCTGGGAGGCTTCTCGCTCCCGGGGGCCCCTGTCCTCCCGCCGCTCCATGGAGCTGACCCTCCCCTCCCGGCCTTCGCCCCAGCTCTCTGGACCTTCCTGTGGTTCGTTGGGTTCTGCTTCCTCACCAACCAGTGGGCGGCCACCAAGGTGGACGACGTGCGTATAGGAGCCGATTCAGCCCGGGCGGCCATCACCTTCAGCTTCTTCTCCATCTTCTCCTGGGTAAGTGGACCCAGGGTGGGCCAGGGTCCTGGTGTCTCTGGCAAAGGGTGGTGCAGGGCTGAGGAACCCAAACCTTGGGGCTCCCTGCAGGGCGTGCTGGCCTCCCTGGCCTACCAGCGCTACAAGGCTGGAGTGGATGACTTCATCCAGAACTACGTGGACCCCACTCCGGACCCGAACACGGCCTACGCCTCCTACCCAGGTGTGCCCGCGGACACCTACCAGCAGCCGCCCTTCACCCAGAACGCTGAGAGCACGGAGGGCTACCAGCCGCCCCCTGTGTACTGAGCTGCTGCGGGGATGGTGTGCGGAGGGAGGAGGGCGCCTGGGGGCCTCCCCTCCTCCCCGGCTCCTCCCCCAAGGCTCGGCTCCTAGAGCCGCTGGCCCCTGGCTCCTGTCCGAACTGACACAGGGCCTGGAGAGAGCGCCCTGAAGTGCCTGTGCCCCAAGGGCTTCACCCACCACTCCTCGAGGGCATTTTTTTAGGAAAAGGTTTTTAGCTAGACACGTTTTGTTGCTTTTAATGACCGGCATCCCCACCTGGAATAGCTCCAGGCACCCGATGTGCTGTTTTGACAAGTGCCTTAGCTTCTCCCCAGCCCAGGAGCCGGGCCCACATCCAGGCGCCGGTGGCCGCAGCCATCTGGGGTTCTCTGCCAAAGACGAGGCTGCGGGGCCTTCTCGCTCCTGCCGTGGGCGCTGGGCCGGGGCTTCTTCCCTCCTCACTCAGGTTTGTTCCGCCCCAGCCCCCTGCCCGCTCTGCGGGCGGCCGGCTGGCCGTGCTCACTGCTGAAGTGTCTGCTCGCTTGGACCTGTGGTCACTCTGTGCCAGTGCCTCTGGGTCACCTTTCTGGCAGCCGAGGGGGACTCGGGCAGCTGTCTCAGATCCCGCCCTGTGGCCGCAGGGAGGGGCTTTGCCTGACAACACCCAGCTTTATGTAAATATCCCAGCTCTGTCCGGAGGTGTGGGATGCACCCACAGCCCCCAGGCCGCTCTGAATGTACATTACAAAGCCTTGGGGGAAGGACGCACAGCACCCTTGGATTCTGTTAGACTAATTCTGGAGATGGAATAAATGGTTTTCTCATTCATAATCTCCGTGTCATTGGCGGGGCCTCTCCCTGGGGCTGGGAGGAAGAGAAATTCCACCGAGGTCCAAGCTGTGGCTGAGGCCCTATGGAACCTAAGTTGTGGCAGCCTGCCCCTCCACTGTGCCCAGCAACTCCCCCCACCCCCACCCGGCCTGGGGTCTCATGCCTCACACTGCCCTCCATCAGCATCTTAAAATAGCAACTGTGCTCAGCTTGTAAACAACACAGCTCTTCTGGGCCGCCTTGCCAGGGTCCTGGCATGCCCCAGGAGGGGCAGGGGTCCTCTGCTTCCTGTAGACAGGGCTCAGAACCCCTGCAGCCTGTCTCAGACCCTTGGGGAGCCGGCCTAACTGCCCAGCCCACACCAGGGAGCAAGCTCCACTAAGGCAGGAGGCCAGGGCCCCCGAGGCAACTCTGGACTTCCCCTTTCGAGCAGTGAGAGGGAGCTGTCAAGTGGGCCCCAGTGGTTTCAAAATCCTGAGTAAAAACTCACAGGGTTTGGGAATTACCGTCTGACCGTGGTACTGCACCTCTGTAACCTGAGACCAGCCACAAGCCAATGGGAGGGAGAAGCTGAGGTAAGGGTGGGGAACTCAGACCCCATCTACACGGGGCAGACCCACAGCCCAGGCCTACCCCACCCTGGAGCACCCTCACCTTCCCATAAGCTGCCCACAGCCAGTGGGCTGTGGCAGAGCCCAAGGCACAGCAGAGCTGGTCTTCCTGGCTCCTGAACGGTCAAGTGTCTGTTTCACAAACTAAAACCTGACCTCACAGCCTCAGCTGGCAGCACAGACCAAGGCTTCATCTTTCCAACCAAGCCCCAGGCTCCTGCATCCATCTTGACCTGAAACCCGCCCAGACAGAAGAGCAGGCAAACATTCCTCTTAGAACACTTGATGATCATCTCTCAGTTAAAAAGATTTGTGGTTAAGGGGTCAGGAGTACTAGAAAAAAATTTGAAAGGAAATCCCCATACCTGAATCATGTCAGAGGTGTCTATAGTGAGACCCGGGGAATCCCAGACAGTTAAAAGAGAAATATGCTTTTACCAACCAATAAATTTTAATATTAGTTATCAGTTCCACACACACACAGCCCCCACCTCCTTAGAGGACAAGCCCATGGGAGCTGAGCCCCAGAGCAGGGTAAGTGTCACCCACGTGGAAGAAGCTGTAATTCCGGAGAAAAGGATCGCCAGGTCAGGAAGGGCTTTCAGCCCAAAAGGAAATAAGAACAAGTCCAGCCATCCCCAGGGTCGGCCGGGAGCCCGTCCCAGGCTGAGGGACCAAGTCTTTGCGTGGGAGGAGGCCGACGCTGAGCCAGAGGTGCTGGGGTATGGGCTGCCCTGTGAGAACAGAAACTCAACAGCAGATGCCACAAAGGGGGAAGAAGCCGGCGACGCCGATGTCACAGCAGCTTGTGGCTTGGCCTCACCCCAAGAGGGACGGCTGCAGCGGCCAGACCCCGCCTCGCAGGGCGGCCAGCTCCAGCCTGGGGAGACTGCGATGGCCCCGCAGCTGGGATGGGAACTGAGAAAAGCCAGTGGGCAGGCAAGGAGGGAAGTGTGCAGTGCAGACCACCAGCCGCTGCATTGGCCTGGGAAATGGCGCAGCAGCAGGCCGATCGCTGGTGAAACCTCCACCCCCAACACCACCTCCCCCGCAACTTCCTCCTCCAAGAAGGCCGAGCAGCGCGCGGGCATCCGCCAGGGGGCGACCGCGGGCGGGGGGGGGCAGGTGGCCTGTGAGCGCCCGCCCCGGGGAGGGGCCAGTGCCTCAGTTGGCCTGACTGCACTGCAGGATATGAGGGGCAAACAGCTTCCGGGCTCCTGGGGCCTCCGCGGGCTTTACCAGCGTCATCGGGCAGTTCTCCTTATTCTCTTCGCTGTCCAGCACGGCGGGCTGACCCGAGGCCTTCTTGAAATAGCACAGGCGGCACACGGAGTGGTACTTGTCTGCTCCTCCGATGACCTCGACCTGACCGTGAGACAGGAAGAGCCTGCACTGAGCGGGGGGCGCAGTGCCCCACTCCTCGCCCCTGGGGGAAGGCAGAGGGCGGCTATGTCCTTCTCCACACCCAGCCTCTTGGTGTAGGCGCCCCTCCCTGCCCCCCACCCGCCCATCCTTTGGAGAAGGTGGGGGGGAGAAGGTGGGGGAAGCTACCTCCTTCTCCACGCCCAGCCTCTTGGTGTAGGCGGCCTCTCTGAAGCACTCCATGCACACCGCCGTCAGCTTGACCACGCTCTCTGCCAGGGGCACCAGGTTCAGGATGGTCCCGAAAGCCTGTACTGGCCACAGAAAGACGGGTGCACACTCATTTCGCCAGGTGGGCTTTTCCTAGAGCCCCTAACTCACAGCCCTGAAGCCAGGAGACTAAGCCTGGACCTTGGCTTCCCCCAGAGCACCAGCCCGAGGCAGGTGGAGTCAGGGTCACCCCGGGGAGCTGGGTCTGGCTGGCCTGAGTGCCTGGGCTCGGGCATGGTGTGGGCATCCAGGGCGAGCTGGGCTGTCCAGTTCTGTGTGCTGCCCAGGCCCCTCCGTCCCCGGTCCCATCCCAAGACTCAGACCAGACACTTCACCTTCCTCTGGAAGGTCCCATCCAGCGCAGCCACGATGACGGTCTTCCCCGAGTTGGCCATGTTTTCGCAGAACTCCACGATGTCAGGGAACTGGGGGAAAGGGTGAGAGGAGGAGGGAGTGAGCTTCCGCCCTGGGTAGCAGCTTCCGGGAGCTGCGGACACGCCACCAGGCCCAGAAGCTCCAGCTACCCGGGTCTGCGTGGAGCTGAGAACAGGGCAGCCCCAGCCCTCCCACCCGGCACACGGCCTGCACACCCACAGCTGCCCGACTCGCTCCCCCATCGCACCAACTTTCCACAGCAGAGCCAGGCCATGCTCCAGGCTAGGCACCCGGATCTGCCACCAGGGAGATGCAACCCAGGTGGAGAGGCCGTCTGCCACCACAGTGGACCAAAGCCCAGATCTGACACTGCCTCGGGCTTGAAGCCGGTTCTCGGTTGGACCCATTAGCTGTGACCCTGGCAATGATTTCATATTTCTGAGCCCAGGAAAAGGCAAGGAAGGCCCTTGGTGATGTTTAAGGATTAAGGACACTCAAATACCTCATTACATATGCTATTTGGCTGAGAGGCAGGCTCTGTGTGTTTGCTTTTGTTTTTTTCTTCTTTTAAACATAATGTGCCATGACATGCCTGGAGAAGGGGTAGGAGTTCCACTGGCTACTTACAGAGCAGGATGGCTCAACACACCACCTGCAGAAAGTCACTTACTTGGTAAATCAAATTTCATTTCAAGTGGCCCAAGGGGCCACTACTTAAACGAATCCTTTGGTGACCTTTCACTGGTCAATCATCTATCTGGTCTGTGGGTTGGGTGAAGTGGGGAGTTTGGGTGTTTGGGCAAAGGGTCTCTCTCCAAGCCACTCGTGGAGGTGTGTAGTTACAAGACCTGAGGGTTCACCCAGATGAGGACCAGGACAGGGCTTAGAGAACCCGGAACAGTTCCAGCAGGATTCATGAAAGCCAGATCTGACCGCCCTCTGCAGGGTTTGCTGAGCCTGTGCTATGGAAACAGCACCTCCCACCCTGAGGCTCCAGCCTGGCTCCAGGTGAGGCCCCTCCTCTTCTCTAAAGGACTCGCTCCTCACAGATCACAGAAATGTAACCCCCAGCCTGCAAGGACCCGTCCACCAGTGCCCCCCACCCCCACCCATGTTGTCACAAACAAAACTGTTTCTAGACATTGCCAGAAATCCACGGGGATGGCGGGGGGCAGAACCACCCTGGGAGGAGCACCCTCTTCATCTTACCCTCCCTGTCCAGACATGGTCCCTCCACACCAGGGTTTGGGGACTGCGAGGGGTCCTCCACCCTGCCTGCTACAGTGATGCCAGTGGTCAAGAGAGCTCAATTGTTCCACCTGAACTTTGTGCCCTGTTCACATGCCACCCCGCTCTCTGCCCAAACGCTGAACCCAGGGCCCCCAGCAGGGGTTCCTGAACAATCCAAGGTATAGCCAGAGCTGCCCAGGTCGTTTGCAACATCCCAGAAGGCCCACTGGTAACCAATCACGTTACTGACGTTTGTTTCTATCACCATTCATTTTTTTAGGTTATGTTATGGGTTGACTCGTGAACCCTTCCACCACTCCACCAAATCCTTATGCTGAAACCCTGACCTCCAATACCTCAGAATGCGACCTTACTTGGAGAGAGGGTCTTTGCAGAGGTCATCCAGTTAAAGTAGGTATGTAGGGTGGGCCTCACTCCAGTATGAATGGTGTCCTTGCAAAAAGGGGAAACTTGGACCCAGGGACAGACAGAGAAGAAGATGAATGTGAAGATGCAGGGAGCAGATGGCCACCCACACGCCGAGGGGACCGGCCTGAGACAGATCTCCGACTCTCCCTCAGGGCCTCAGAGGGAACCTGCCCTGCCCACACCTTGATCTTGGGCTCCCAGCCTCCAGAGTTGTAGGAAATGAATGTCTGTGGTTTAAACTGACTGGTCTGCAGTGCAGGTTACAGCAGCCAGAGACCCCAGTACAGGTTACATTTAAAGTGGGCCTTCAGAGGACCTAGCAAATAAATTTTCTTGGGAGATAAAAATGATCACCACAGGGGATCCAGCGAGAAAAGCACAGGAGGGGTTTCTCGACAGTGACAAGCCTGCCCATGTGATCATCTGCTGGTCCAGCACCAGGGCTGACCTGCCGAGAACCGCTTCCTGAACAAGGAGCGATGGGTGGGGGAGAGGACCGAAAGCTGTGGAAGCAGAGATCAGGCAGCCAGGAAGGAGATTCGCCCTTGTCGTCATGTTGCTGAGAGGTGGCGGCCTCGTGATGCTCGAGGGAAGCACCCCGGCCCTGCCCAGGCGGAGACCTCACTTCCTGGCAGCCCGGCTGGCGTGGAAGGTTGCAGAGGCCACAGGAGGGGACAGGGCGAAGGATGTGACAGTGAAGGATTCAGCCGCTCCACCATGAATGGTAAAGACTAAATGAGATGCCCAGACCAAATCCAGAGGCAAATAAACCAGGAAGAAGTATTTACAGCATGTAACAGAGTGGCACTGGTTATATCACACGTCCTAGAGGAAAGACAACCCAAGAGGAGGCTCTTTACAAAAGGAGAAATACAGGGAAAACAGTGTCAGCCACCCAGGAAGAAAAGAGAAAGGCAGGCAGAACAGAATATGTGTGTGCAGCCACCGCCCCTGCCCTCCTCGGGGGATGTCTGCAGAGACCCGGCGTCCCCCCCCGCCCCCCGCAATCCATCCATGCCCCTCCAGCAGAGGACCGTCCTGGGCGGCTTCCAGGCTCTCCCAGAGTTCAGGCTGAAGTCTTTCCTGCTGACCAGGCAGAAGCCCCTGATCTGGAGCACACTCTTGCCTGGGAACTTCACCCCACTTTCCTTCCAGCCGCTTTCTGACCGTTCTCATAAAGCATGATCCCCACTGGGGCTCCACCTACTTCACACGGCTTTTCTCTCCCCTAGTTGCCAGAACTTTTACATATCTCTTTCCCCCAGCTAGAATGGAAGTGCAAGGGCGAGACCCTGGCTATACTCCCAACACCTAGAACACGGCCGCCGTACGGCTCAAGCTCAGAAAACACTGGATGAATAAGCTCGACCTCTTGACCAGTGATTCCAGTACACCAGATAAACCCCAATACACCAGACGACAGCCCAATGTCCACCCACACGTCCATCACAGCCTTTAAGTGCCACAGCCAAGGGGGTGGGTCATGCAAGACACGGTACCTTCATAAGGACAGGTATCTGTTGATGTGGAAAGATGGTCACAACACGTGATATGAGCCCGATCTATAAGTAGATATATATGTACGGAGACTAGAAGGATGCAGATCAAGATTCTGTGATTTTTGTTTTGTTTTTCTGAGCAGCGAAAGAGAAGGACAGGGCAGTGGGAGGAGCTGCCTGCGTTCACAGTGGGCCTCGGGGTTGCTGTGCTGAACAGAATTAATTTCATACAACTAATTTCACAGAATTAATTTCATGAGCTTCTGGCCCACTCACGAAAGACAAAACCAGACTCCTTCTCGGGAATTCCCTGGGGGTCCAGTGGTTAGGATTCAGAGCTCTCACTGCCGTAGGCCCCGGTTCAATCCCTAGTCCAGGAACTAATATCCCACACATGTTGCATGGTGAAAACAAACCAGACCCCTCCCTAAGCATGTCTGAGCACAGACAGAATGTAAGCATCACCTAGGCTACGGGATACCAAATGTCCCCCCTCCTGGATAAAGGAGTGACCCCTGCTGCTTCGGCCTCCTGGTCCACCCTCCCTACAGGTGACGTTTAAGATGCTGGTCAGAATCATCGCCCTTCCCAGGACACCATATCAAAAGCCAAACCGACCTCCAAAACCCTCCCCAGAATGACCCGATGCAGCCCGCATTTCCTAATAACCAAGCCCTCACCCACAGCCCCCAGTTCTCATGTCGGTGTCTCCCTGCAACTACAGTCCCTAGTTGTTCCGTTCTGGGGCTGTTCCTGGCGGTCCCTGGGCAGAAGACGCTGGTAGTCAATTATGGACTTTCTTCTTAAGTACAGTCCTTCCTGACTTTTCCGAGATGACCCCCCGTCCTACTTGTGGTAAAGCAGAGATAAGAACAGCACTCAGGGTGATACCGCGAGGCTGGCATGCCCAGGAGCCAGCTGCCCACCTATCATTGTACCCTCAGCTGATAGCTTGGGGACTTCAGACACACCCTTCCCTGACACCCCGTCTGCACGGAAGGATGAAGGAAGGGAGGGGCAGTCCTTTTGTTGGGTCCCATGTTGAGAGGCAGCCCCTGGGACCCCAGACTTCTTTCTAAGCAAGACCCACAGGGGTGAGGACAGAACAGAAGACTGACGATGTTTCTATAGGGGGTTTAATAAATACTTATGATGGAAACTCAACTGTGACTTGCTGGCCAGGGAGGAAGCAGCCATAGAAACATGGAACAGAACTAGGGGTCAGGTGGCCCACCAGCTCCCAAACCAGGGCACTCGGCTCTCAACCAAGGAGGTGTCAGAAGTGGAAGGTCCCTGCCAGGGTGTCCAGCTCAGCCCTGAAAACACACTTTACCTATAGCCAGGGAGCAGAGTGGTTAGCACGTACACACTGGGCCTGAAGGACATGAGAGCCTCCCCAAAGCTCACAATCCTTGTTCTGAGAGCTACCTCCCCAAAACTGACCCAGGCTCCCCAGAGCCTTCTGGAGATCAGAGTCTAGAAGAGAAAGGGAAGAGCTACAGCCCTGTTCTCACCCTGAACCATTCCAGAAAGACAACGGAAGGAAGAGAATCAGTTATTAAACGAGAGTATCTAAATGTCTATCAACAGATGAGTGGATAAAGAAGATGTGGTACATATGTACAATGGAATATTACTCAGCCATTAAAAAGAACAAAACAATGCCACTTGCAGCTGCATGAATGGACCAGGAGTGAAGTCAGAGGAAGACATCATATAATATCACTTATATGTGAAGTCTGAAAAAAAAAACAAGGTACAAATGAACTTATTTACAAAAAAGAAACAGAGTCACAGGTATAGAAAACAAAGTTATGTTTACCAGGGGGCATGCGGTGGGCGAGGATAAACTGGGAGATTGGGATTGACATATACATACTACCATATATAAAACAGAGAACTAATAAGGACCTTCTGCACACCACAGGGAACTCTACTCAATGTTCTATAATGGCCTGTGTGGGAAAAGAATCAATAAAAAAGCGTGGCTGGATGTATATCTGGAACTGATTCACTTTGCGGTACACTTGAAACTAATACACTGTCAATCAACTCTACTCCAATAAAGCGAAAACAAACAAAAAACTCAAGAGCAGATTGTTACATAAGCTACACCCAGTACAAAACAGGATCAATAAAAACAAGACCTCCCCGGACCACACTGTTCTGAGAGAACAGACAGGTTCCCTGCCCAGGAGGGTGATCAGAGAAGCCTTCTTCCGAGCGCTAAGGTGTGCGGCTGCTGCTTTTCCAAAGCAGCAAGGGGAAATACTGGCCAAGTGCCACCCCGCTAAAACTAGAAAACAGAATAAAGCCATTTTCACATCAAGACTGGGAGAGCTTCCCACCGACACAGCCTGGCTGAAGAACTACTAAAGGATGTGTTTCAGTAGGAGGAAAAATAAACCCATAAAGAATAAGCAAGAGGGACTTCCCCAGTGGTCCAGCGGCTAAGACTCTGCGCTCCCAATGCAGGGGGCCCGGGTTCAGTCCCTGGTCAGGAAACTAGATCCTATATGCCGCAACTAAGACATGCTGCTGCCAAATGAANAAAAAAAAAAAAAAACAAGCAAGAAGCATCAGTGAGCCAAACCAAACCAAACCCTTCCTTCTGGTATTGAGAAATCAAATTTTTTTGTTCATCATAAATTTTTTTTTTAAGGTACAATAAATTCCATGTAATAGTAACACAGAGGGACTTCCCTGGTGGTCCAGTGGCTAAGAGTCTGTGCTGCAAATGAAGGGGGCCCAGGTTTGATCCCTGGTCAGGAAACTAGATCCCCCATGCTACAATGAAGACTGAATGAGACCCAAGCAGTCAAATAAGTAAATATTAAAAAAAAAAAATAATTCAGTAACACAGAAAGCAGTAAGGAGAATTCAAAGGGTTTTCAGATACTAGTTAAAGCAAATTAACTTAACAATATTTACCTTTAAAGATCAGAAATAGAACCAATAACCTCTAAACCAGCAGAGGAAAAAGGGGGACTTAAGGGGTTCATAGGAAGAGCAATGTCAGGACACGTCAACTTACAAACTGCCCTTCGTCGATGCCTATGACGGCCACGCCCTGGGCATCCTGGATCACATCCCGGAGCAGACAGGCTGGCAGGGCCTCCATGGTGTTCCTGGGGACAAAGAGCCAGAGTGTGGGCAAGGCAGGGGAGCCCGAGGAGACCCGGAACCAAGACGAGGGGCTAGGGAAGCGCCTCACGACCACCCCCTCCCTGCAAAGCAGGTCGAGCCATCTGCCTAGGGCTTTGAGAAGTTAGTGCCCGTGGGAAGGCATCTGGGGAGGAGAGTAAAGGTCTTTGTTCAGAAAACCAGTTATTCAACACGAGCTATTTCACTTCACGCTTCGGACTGGAAATTAGCAATGCCCAATGTAAAAGGTCAACCTGGATGCCAGGCTCTTCTCTGCGGTGTGTGTAAGGGGAGGGGCCGGGGCACAGAAGGGGTTAATTCATCAGGTACAGTGTCCCGGGCCCATGATGCTTTGGGGATGAATGAAATCTTTTAATTCTCGTTTAAAAATCAGAATAAGGGGCTTCCCTGGTGGCTCAGTGGTAAAGAATCTGCCTGCCAGTGGAGGAGGCACAGGATCGAGCTCTGATCCTGGAAGACCCCGCATGATGCACAGCAACTAAGCCCGTGTGCCACAGCTACGGAGCCGGTGCCCTCAAGCCTGGTAGCTACGATTGAAGCCCGTGTGCCCCAGGAGAAGCCACCCCAGTGAAAAGCCTGCTCACCACAACTCGAGAGTAGCCCTCGCTCGCCTCAACTAGAGAAAAACCTAAACAGCAAGGAAGATCCAGCCCAACCAAAAATAAATAAATAAAATTATTTTTAAAAAAATCAGAATGTGACTCAGTCTGATTTTTGTCTTTCTAGCAATATAGTCAGAGAGTATAATTTTTTTTTTTTCTTTTGATAGAGGAAGGGGCCCATGAAAGTCTTACCATGGCCCCGGGTAGACCATTAGCACCAGAATCTAAGACTTGCAGCCCCATGCGCCAGCAGAGATAAGCTGGGAACACCAACCAGCAGGGCAGTGACCTAGAATTCCCTCCTTTGGACTCCTCTGGCTGATTACAGGATTTCTTACAGACCATAGCACTATTAACAGGCAGAGTCAAATCCACATTCATGCTTCTGCCTCGTGTTTCCTAAGGGCGGATTCCCACCCAGCAGAGTATGAAAGTGAAAGGCAGCTGTGGGAATGTTCCAGTGCATTAAATGACAGTGAATCCCGCCCTGCCCCCACAGCCAGGTCTTCTGGAAGAGGAAAGCTAGTTCTTTGTCTTCTTTTTAAAAAGTTTCTGTTTTTCTACAAGGTTATTTTCTTCTGTTTCCATTTCTGCCTGCTCCTCTGAACTAGCCTTGCAAGGGGCTAGGAGCTTCCTGAAGGTTCTGCAGTTGGCAGCTAGAGTGGCTCAGGCCATAAAGAATCTGCCTGCAAGGCAGGAGACCTGGGTTCACTCCCTGGCAACCCACTCCAGTATTCTTGCTGGGAAAACTCCCATGGACAGAGGGGTGGCAAAGACTTGGACATGACTGAGCAACTTTCACTTTTAAACTATGCCGTAGTGATTATTTTACCAGTTATCTTATGGTCATCCTGCTTCAAGCTCTGGGAAGAGTGTGAAACTATTTCCTGCATTTTAAATTCCCCACCCTTCCCCAAATAAAGAAAACCAGAATGCAGGCAAGGCAGTAAGCTGGTTCCATCTCTAGCAAGAGCAGCGTCTCTGGAGCTTTGTCACCCTGCCAAGCATTCGGTCTCTGCTGGGGCTTGTCCAGGCCTCGACAGCCCATGTCAGAGAGGGTTTGTGACCCTGGGGCAGAGCTTGGATTTCACCCCACTGAACAGACTCCAGAAGCTGTACTTCTATTTGCTGCAGCGTTGCCTCTACTGCCTGATTGTCCTCCCCTGATGCTCCCCGAGTCCCATGCAGCGGAGGCCTGTGTTTTAGGGATGAGAAGGCAAATTTGGAGATGTAAATGACCTATCTGCAACAGACAGCAGGTCAGGGAAACGTCACTCAACGTTTAACTTAACTCCAAGTCCAGGGCCCTCTAAGCCCCAGCACCTGCCCGCCTTCAGAACCCCACTTGTTAGCCTATGGAATCACCCAGCCCGTAAAAACTAACCATGCCATATGTTGAGGCCACTCTCTCCTTCTGAGATGGGCCATATTCTGCCTGTGGCGTATGTTTCTCTCTAAAGAAATCCACCTCTTACCTTTAAAAAAAAAATAATGGAGAAGGAAATGGCAACCCACTCCAGTATCCTTGCCTAGGAAAACCCATGGATGGAGGAGCTTGGCAGGCTACAGTCCATGGGTCGCAAAGAGTCGGACGCAACTGAGTGACTGACACTGCACTACCTAGCTAAGCTAATTTACTTTAAAAAAAAAAAAAGAAAGCTCCCACCCTGAAACCACACACAGCATGGCCTTGAGGCTGGGGGCTCAGGTGGACAAATATGGGAGACAACAGTGTCTCAGGCTCCAAAATATCAGGCCCCAATCTGCTGCATGGAATGGCAGGAATGGTACTAAATCTCACTTCCCAACCTCAGGCAGCGGACTGAAATGTCCACAGGGCGCAGGCAGATAAACATCAAAGGGGGATGCTCCAAGGCCACAAGGGGAAGTCAAGGACAAGCCAACTAAAAATTTAAATAAGATTCACTCTGCAGGCCAACAGGACCAGTTTGCACCCTCCATGGAGGTCAAGAGCAGCATTTCTTAACCTTGGCCAGATACTACTGACATTTGGGGCTGGATCATTCTTTGCTGTGAGGCGGTCTGTGCATCGTAGAATGTTCAGTGGCATTCCTCTACCGACTAGTTGCCATCATGCCCTTATCTCCTCCTGTGGTTAAAAACTAAAAACATCCCCAGACATTACAAATAGACTCTAGAAGGCAAAATCAAACCTCCACTGGGTTAAGAACCACTGGGCTAGAGTCCCAAGAAAGGCCAAGTTGTAGGGTACCAGGCCAAGCAACTAGGAAAGTTCGCAGATTTAAACGGTTCGTTGTCAGGCATCAGCATTATTAACCTTCTGCTCTAAAGAACTGTCACAGTATGTTCTAGAGGGGTCCAGATTCCATTCCAAAATCATCTCACCCCACAGTTCTTCACCTAATCTGAACGAACAGGACTTTTTGGTGCAACAAGGAAAGCATCAAGTCTGTGTCCAAGAGCCCACCCTGAGCCTCACCATCGTGCGCAAGGGCTTTGACCTGGAGGGATCTCCCCCAGGGCCATGTAGGAAGGGGTCAGGGGAGTTACGGGAGCTCGCTGGCCCTACCTGGTCTGGGATTGGGTCTATCACTTCAAGGAAGTGAAGGCGCCAGTGGCTTGACTCTGCAGTGTGCAGAGTGAACACCTTCCTGGGCCATCTAAGGAAACAGTCACACTGGAAGGAAGCGACAGACACTGCAGGGCGCTCAGGGCCCGGCCACCGAGCACACGCCCTTCAGGTGGGGCTTTGGAGGGGCTAAACGATGACCAAATGATGACCAGCTCCCGGAAGGATGGGTGGTTGCATGGCCCCAAGCGGAGGAGGGTCTGACGGAAATGGGAGGAGCGCCTCCTCCGCGAGGGATTCCACGGAGGAGAGACATTCTGGGCGGGAAAGCGGGGGTCGGGCAGCCGGAGATATTGGGGGGGGGTGCTCTGAGAGGGGCCGCAGGTTCGGGGCGGGACGGACGGCGTCCCGGGGGGCTGGAGGAGGACCAAGGAAGCAGAGGAGGAGGTCCTGGGCCACACCCGTCCCGCAAGGCCATTACCTTTTTCCTGAGAACATGGGTCCGAGAATCACCTAGGAGAAAAGGAGAGGTCACTTCGGGCCCCGGGGTGCACAGATACCCGGGGACCCAGCCCCCTCAACCAGTCACGACTCCGACCCTGACCCCGACCCCGCCCCGGCGCCCGCACCTGGATCTGCCCCCGGGTCTTGCTGGGGGAGCCTGGCAGCACATTGGGCAGGTTGATGCAGCTCATGGCACCTTCAGGGAGCTGGCAAACAGAGCACTCTGCGCCGCCGCCGCCTTGCAGGCTCCCGCCGGTTCCCGCGCAGGGCACGTTATCCCCGGCGCGGGCCAATCGGGAACCAGGGCCGCAGCCCCGGAACCAATCACCGCGCGGCCGCGGGACTGGAGGGAGATTTGGCCTCAGCCCGCCCCCTCGTAGGAGGGACCAGAAACGCGCGTACCGGGCTCTGTCCCGGGAGAGGTGGGCGTGGCTCCTCCGGGGCGGGGGCTGATTGGAGCCCCGCCCACCTTCTATAAAAAGGCGAGGGGGACACGCGCGGCAGCGTCTGATGGTGCAAAGCGGGAATGGACGTCTTGGGCGGAAATCACAGGCACGAGGCTCCCTGGAAGAGGATGTCTAAAGAGGTAGGAGGATCACAGGGAGAGAGGCTGGGGCTGAGGAGTGTAGCTCAGACATTAGATGAGAGTTGAGAGAAAAGTTTAGAATCATTCCTGTGGAGGCTGTTGGTACTGTGTAACAGGTCCCCAAAACTTTAGCACTGTGATTTATTTTACTTCTCTCCACAGATAGGCTTTTGCTAGCCTGATTTTAAGGGTAGAATACGGAAGCCCTGGCTATGTTAATATTTATAAACCCAGAGGGGGTTGGGGCCGAAGTTCCTAACCTTAATCTGAGGTTATGCAATGTGCAGAGAATGTGCCAGACCTGAAGGAAGCAGAAAGGTTGGTTTTACTGCAGGATGGTCGTGAGGGTTAGAAACCCCATGTGTGGGGCACAGTTCTTGAGGCGCTAGCCTTCTGTGTTCCCCCTTTGCCTGGCAAAGAAATAAAGCCACTCTTTCTCTCTCCTCCATTAAAAAAAAAAAAGAAACCACATATGCAAAGCACTCGTTCTGATTATCATTCAGTTATAATTTCCTGACTAGTTTTCCTACATTTGAAGCAGCAGTTCTTTCTCAGGTCATGGACACATCTAAGAATGTGATGAGTTATAGATACTGCCCCCAAGAAACTCCATCCTCTGTGTGTGCGCGTGTGTCTCTCTCTCTCTTGTCTTTCTCTTTCTGACACAAACTCCTACAATATGAGAGCACTCTCAGAAACCCATTGCATTACCATTCTTATAGGTAAATAATAGAAATAAAGATGGCAACCCACTCCAGTACTCTTGTCTGGAAAATCCCATGGACGGAGGAGCCTGGTAGGCTACAGTCCGTGGGGTCTCGAAGAGTCGGACACAACTGAGCGACTTAACTTTCACTTCACTTTCCTGCATTGGAGAAGGAAATGGCAACCCACTCCAGTATTCTTGCCTGGAGAATCCCAGGGACGGAGGAGCCTGGTGGGCTGCTGTCTATGAGGTCGCACAGAGTCGGACGCGGCTGAAGCGACTTAGCAGCAGCAGCAGCAGCAATAAAGACAATGATAGCAGTCACAGAGTGTGCAGGTATGGCTGCAAGCATCCTATGGGCACAGATGGTACAGATCCAAAGACCACTGGCCAAGAACCCTGTTCAGGGGGACGAGGAGGAAACCCACATCTGAATGGTTAGCTTTTCTTCGTGTACATGCCTTATAGCTTTCAGCCTCAACAGGAGTACAGCCTAACTGGGCTGAAAGCTGTAGGATATGTACATGAAGCGAAGTGCTGTTGTTTTGCTCATTATACAGATGACGGAACTGACTGTAAGAAAGTTGCCCAGGTTAAAAGAGCCTGCAAGTGTTGGAGTTTGGATGGCACTCAGCCCATCTGAGTACAGAGCCTAAGACCTTTCCATGAGACCACCCTGTCTTCAAATTTCCCAGTCCAGCCTTCGCCCATTTTTGTTTGTTTTATTTGTTTTGTGGTTGTGTGTCTGAGCGCTTGCTCCAAAACCTGGTTCCTTATTACTTTCTGAAGTCTGAACATCTAGCTTGACATCCAAGACCCTCCACCCTCAGCCCCCCCTTCCTCTGTGTTTCAGCAATTGAGGCTGGTCAACATTTCCAATCGTCTGACCTCTGATTCCTTCCTCTTCACCTCTGGGCCGCTGATTGTGCTGTGACCTTCAGTCAGATTTATGTCCTGTCAGGGAAGATCAGCTTCATATCACTTTCTCTGCAGCGACCACCCTAGCTCTCTGGCTTCCTGTGATCCTAGCTGCTGTAGAAGTGGTGCCTCTGGTGGCATTCACTGGGACACCTTTATGGGTCCTCATTTCCCTTTAAGGCTTCCAGCTGCTTAAAGGCTAGGCCACTGCCCTCACTGCAGGTGTCTGACAGCACTTGCAATCTTGTTTCTGTTGCATCTGAAACATCTAGTTAATTAGTGGGGGGAGAGTGGGGCCTGGGTTGCCAGGCTGGAGGCTGGAGGAGCTTGAAGGAAGCTGAGGGCATCTTGAGAGATATCAGGGAAGGGGCTTCTCCAGGCAGAGAGGAGCATTCAGACACATGGAGGGGCGGGGGCAGGGTCTGCGTGGAGGTCAGAGGTCTTACAGAACATTGTATCTGTGTCTCACAGGAGCTGGATAACCAGTATTCCCCCAGCAGATGGGTCATCCGTCTGGGAGCAGAGGAGGCCATGAGGACCTATTCACAGATAGGCAGCGAAGGTACTGGGGGACCTCTCTGTGGCCGCTTTGGGTGGACTTTAGCATGTGGCAGTGGTTCAAGATGCTGGGGTAGGGAGGAGGAGCCTCATAGCCCAGCCTCTCTGGATGGTTCCCAAAGTCCAGGCATCTCATCTGCTCCGGGAGCCCTGGCTGCAGGACTGCCAAGGGGAGGGAGTCTCAGAGACTGTGCTCCACATCCCTGCCTGATCAGCCAGCCAGCTATGCCCAGGCCTTAAGGCTACAGTGGCCCAGGGGAGTAGAGTGAAAAAAGGAAGGTGTCCCACTCAGCTGCTGAAAGTGGAATGTTATTGCTATTTACCAAATCAAAGAAGCTTTTTTTTTTTTTTTTAATGAAATCAAGGCTTGGGAATCTGTAAGCTAGTAAAGTCTCAAGGTTGATTCCCGTCCCAGTCCTGGGTCTCCAGAGTGTGCTGCCACCTTTTCAGCTGGGTCAGGCAGGCAGGTTCCACAGGGAATGTGTGGGTGAGGAAGCAGCCAGCCCCTCCTGCAAGTTGGAAAATTGGAGGTTGGCAAATGCACTTTGTTTTAGCAGGCCAGATGGAGCGCTACACTGAGATAACCCAGCTGGAGGGACAGTCTAGTAGGGGTTTATTCCAGCACATTTCAGCACCTTCCCTGTCCTCATAGAGCTGGAGCTGTGTCCTGGGCTCTTCAGAGTTTCCTACCATGCTTAGCTCTGCACCAAATATGTCTCTGTAGACTCAGTATATATTTGAGTGTGCAGTGACGCCTACGTGAGCAGGTAGCAAACCTGTTTGTCTACTGTAATTGTCTTGAGGGAAAAAAGAGCTGACCCTGTAGAGAAGAGGAGTCTCTCATAAGAAGCAAGGTCAAAGAAGAGACTCTGAGACTCCGAAGTAAGCCCTCAGAGAATGTGTTTAGCTCTGCCTCCCGAGAAGCCCTGTGGACAGCTTTACATTCACATCCCACCTCCCTTCCTGTTTGCGATGCTCCAGCCGGCCAAGAGGTGCCACCGGTGCATCTGCCCCATTTCATTGGTGAAGAAGGGGAGTGTGATGATGGGCCAGGTGAGTGAGCAGAGCCATGCATGCACAGGGTTGGAGCCTGTCTCTATTGGAAATGTTGACATTTTGTTCATCATCGACTTTTTTGGCATAAATTCTGATTTTAAAAAATACTGCATTTACATATTATCTGTCTTTGTATTGGTCAGCTCCGGTTGCATAACAAAATGCCATGGGCTGGGTGTCTTAAACAATAGGAATCTCTTTCTCCCAGTGCTGGAGGCTGAGAAGTCCAAGGTCAAGGTGCCAGCTGATTTGGTTCCCTGGTGAGGGTCTCTTCTTGGCTTGCAGATAGACCTCTTCCCCCTGCATCCTCACATGTCAGAAAAAAGAGAAAGAAATGCTCACCTTTCTTCTTATAAGGCCACTAATCCCACCACAAGGACTGCATCCTCATGACCTCAACTAAACCTGATTACCTCCCAAAGGCACCACCACATTGCTGTCGTTGTTAATCGCTAACTCTTTGCGACTCTTTGGACTGTAGCCCGCCAGGCTCTTCTATCCATGGGATTTCCCAGGCAAGAATACTGGAGTGGGTTGCCATGCCCTCCTCCAGGGGATCTTCCCAACCCAGGGATGGAACCCACGTCTCCCACACTGCAGGCAGATTCTTTACCATCTGAGCCTCCAGGGAAGCCCATCTGCTACCTTGCTGCTGCTGCTGCTGCTAAGTCGCTTCAGTCGTGTCCAACTCTGTGCGACCCCATAGACGGCAGCCCACCAGGCTCCCCCATCCCTGGGATTCTCCAGGCAAGAACACTGGAGTGGGCTGCCATTTCCTTCTCCAATGTGTGAACGTGAAAAGTGAAAGTGAAGTCGTGTCCGACTCGTAGCAACCGGATGGACTGCAACCTACCAGGCTCCTCCGTCCACGGGATTTTCCAGGCAAGAGTACTGGAGTGGGATGCNTCATGTTTATTCTCCCCCAAGACCTGGCCTCTCCCAGGCTAGGTGAACACGGGCAGAGGGAAGTTGGAAGAACTGTGTCCTCTACCAGTAGCTATTAAATTTGTTTAATAAGACTCTCAGTAAAAATGTTTTTAGAAGCCGTGGCAACGGAAAGAGATTAGCGACACTGGGAGATGCAGAACAGCAGGGTTTATTCAGCCCCCGTGCGGGCTTAGGGGAATCGCCTCCAGGGTCTGAGCGCCCGGGCTTTGTTCCGGGTACCTTTGTTTGTTTGTTTATCTTTTGTTCTGGGTATCTTTTATATGGCGTGGGCTTCCGGGTCCTGGTAACTTTCCAGCCTACGCAGTTTGGTTGAAGCCGTAAGCAGGCCGGTTCACAGAAGCAGAGGTGGTGAGCATCAGTAAGCAGGCCACTTTACAGAAGTGGAGGCAGTGAGCATAGCAGTAAATTTCAGTTCAATTTAGTTCAGTCGCTCAGTCGTGTCCGACTCTTTGCAACCCTGTGGACTGCAGCATGCCAGGCCTCCCTGTCCATCACCAACTCCTGGAGTTTACTCAAACTCGTGTCCATTGAGTCCGTGATGCCATCCAACCATCTCATCCTCTGTTGTCCCCTTCTTCTCCCGCCTTCAATCTTTCCCAGCATCAGGGTCTTTTCAGATGAGTTGCAGTAAACTTAAGCAACTATTTTAGTTTCTTCTTCTTTTTTTCCTCTTCAAAAATACATTGTACAAGAAACTAAAAAAGGTGTGTGTGTAACCAGGCTGGGGGCACATTTCCAAACTTCCTGTCCCTCAAGCCACGCCTCGCCCTAGGAGAGCCAATCACCAGCGAGGTGGGTGGGGGCCTCGTGATTGACAGCTTCTGCGACTGACAGCCTCTCCGAGGGATCCTCCTACCTTTTAAGGCTGAGTTGGCCCTTTTTCCTTTCCACCAGATAAAACCAAAGGAAAAAGACAAAGGCACACAAAATACAGGCCCACTTTTGTTTAACTGTGATAGGATACACATAACTTAAAATATACCATTTTAACCATTTAATTTAATTTAATTTTTTTTTTTTTAAACCATTTTACAGTGTACAAGTCAGCAGCATTCAGTACCTTCACGATGTTGTACCACCATCTCCTCTGTCTGGTTCCAAAACATTTTTCATCACCCTGAAAGGACACCTCCCTACCCATTAGGCAGGCTCCGACTTCATTCCTATTTATGGACGAATAATTTTCCGTTGTGTGGATGGACCGCGTTTTGTTTATCCATTCATCCCGCTGTTGGACATTTGGTCTGTTTCCCCCTTTTGGCGATTGTGAAAAGTGCGGCTGTGAACATTCATGTACAAGTTGTTTGAAAGCCCAAATTTCTTAGCCCTAATTTCAATAGACACGGCCATTCTACCAAACTGCCTATATTAATATATAAATGTTTACCTGCACATTTTACTTAGTTCGTCATGGACCAGTAGCAGACACTATGGGGCACCCAGTGTTCACAGACCACATTGTAATAGCCCTGCCCTGCACTATCTGAAGCTGGCCATTTTTAGGCAACCGTTTTCTGATTACAAAAGGAGCATTTGCTTACTGAAAAGGATTTTGGAAAGTAAAGCCATCAATAATTCTGCCACCCGTTGTTCACATTGTAATGTGGTTTCTTCTAGCCTCTTTTTATTTTCTCCTGGAAGAAAGCCTTCTGTTTTAATAGTGTGCAATCCTGGTTTGTTGTGAGGTTTTTTAATGTTTTTTTTTGGGGGGGGGGCGGGGGGAGCTCCTTGGCTTACAGGATCTTAGTTACCTGATCAAGAATTGAACTCAGGGCCATGGCAGTGAAATCTCCCAAGTCCTAACCAGTGGACCACAAGGTAGCTCCCTGCAATCTCGTTTTTTTTTTTTTTGATAGTATGAACAGTGTTAAAAATTCTTTCTAGGAGAAGGAAATGGCAACCCACTCCAGTATTCTTGCCTGGAAAAGTCCATGGACAGAGGAGCCTGGCGGGCTGCAGTCCATGGGGTTACATGACTGAGCATGTGTGCACGAGGGTGGAGGGAGATGGGTTGGTAACAATAAAGTGGTAGAACTAAAAAATAAATAAATAAATAAAAAATAAAAATTTTTTCTAGAAGAGAGAAAATACTGTGTGTAAAATAGACAAGCAACAAGGATATATTATTGTACAGCAGAGGGAAATATAGCCATTATTTTGTAATAACTTTAAATGGAGTATAATCTATAAAATGTTGAATCACTATGTCACACATGAAACTAGTGTAATATAATATTATAAGTGAGCAATATAGTTCAATTAAAAAATTCTAACCCCAAATAATTGGAAATAAGTACTCAAATACATGTACACACATGTTCATAGCAGCATTATGCACAATTGCCAAAAGGTGGGAAAAGTTCAAATTCATCCACAGATGAATGGATAAACAAAGTGTGATATGTCCATGCAATGGAATTATTTTGGGCACAAAAAAAGGAATGAATTACTGATACATACTAGAACATGGATGGACCCTGAAAACACAGTGCTCATTGAAAGAAGCCAGGCACAAAAGGTCACATTTATATGTATGATTATTATTTATATGTACAATTCCATTTATGTGAAACATCCAGAACAGGGTAATCTGTAGAGACAGAAAGCTGTGATTACAGGGGGTGCTTAATGGGTTTCCTTCTGAGATGAAAAAAAATGTTTTGTTGTTGTTGTTTAGTTGCTAAGTCATGTCTGACTCTTTGTGACCCCATGGACTATAGCCCACCAGGCTCCTCCATCCATGGGATTTCCCAGGCAAAATTACTGGAGAGGGTTGCCATGCTCTCCTTCAGGGGATCTTCCCCACCCAGGGATCGAGCTTGCATCTCCTGTTGGCAGGCAGATTCTTTCACCACTGAGCCACCAGGGAAGCCCTGAAAATAATGTTTAGAAACTAGATAGAGGTGATGGTTGCAAACCATTGTGAATGTGCTAAATGCCACTGAATTGTTTACTATTTATTTTTTTAATGACACCATCAATTTTGACTTTTTCCCTTTAAAATGGTTGGGACTTCCCTGGCAGTCCAGTGGTTAAGACTACAAGCTTCCGCTGCAGGAGCCCCAGTTTGATCCTTGGTTGGGGAACTAAGATCCCACATGTGGAGAATCAGAAGGAAAGTCGCTTTTTCTCTGACTTTGGTTGTCACAGATTGGGCTAGGAACTAAACATGACTGAACCCCAGAAACCCCCCTACCCCACAGCCTCCCAGAGCTTCTCCAGCTTGTCCACTGGTCCTGGCACATACTCCCTCCCTATTTGTGTTCACAGACTTAAAAATCCTGTATTCAACTAGTCATCCCTCCCTCCCACCCACCCCAGCCCCCAGAAGCCACTGATCTCTTTTCACTGTTTCCACTGTTTCACTTCTATAATAGTTGGAATCACACAGTGTGTAGTCTTTTCAGACCTGGCTCATTTTTATAGAACATGTTGCTACCTGACATTTATAACTCCTTGTCCCCCTCTTTAAGGGGTAAGCCACATATGATTGGGATATTTTTTTTTCCTATTTTATCACTGCAAAACTCCAGAAGGGGCACAAGATCACTGCTTATATAAATATTTGTTTGCTAAGTGAATTAAAAGACTGGGAGGGAATAGTTCTGAAGCTAGATGAGGGGACTTCCCTGATGGTCGTGTGATTAAGGTGCCATGCTTCCAACACAGGGGGCGCAGGTTCAATCCCTGGTCGGGGAACTAAGATCTCACATACTGTGTGACTGCTGCTGCTGCCGCTGAGTCACATCAGTCGTGTCTGACTCTGTGTGACCCCATAGACGGCAGCCCACCAGGCTCCCGTCCCTGGGATTCTCCAGGCAAGGACACTGGAGTGGGCTGCCATTTCCTTCTCCAGTGCATGAAAGTGTGACTAGCCCCCCCCCCCACCAAAAAAAAGAGTGTACAGAAAATAAGTAAATAAAAATAGAGCATAACTTAAAAAAAAAAAGCCTGGTGGACCCTAACCGCTTCTTAAATTGCTCCACAGCACCTGATAAACCCTTGATCTTCAGCTCTCTGACACCATCTGATGGGTCTCCCCGCCCCAT